AGCCGTCGTCCGCGGCCATTTTGGGAGTGTGGTGGCATCCGGTTCCATAGACCAGGGCAATAAAACTATAACCAGATCAGGCAAATGCCAAAGCCGTATTAATTAGTCCTGGCGAATCAAAAACAAGTTTTGAGATGAACCAATTGTAGATTGAGCCAAATATTATAATATGATGGCACCATTCAATGTGAATAGTTTATAAATGGATTAAGTTTAATGAAGAATTTGGATCGAGGCTCTAAACGGCTTCCTGCTTCTAAATGCGTAGGTGCCACTTTATATTTCCTTATGAGAATCGGTCATGATACTTATCTATTAATCTAATAATAAAAACTCTGAATATAAATAATATATATTCTTGTTTTGTGTTTTAACTAACTTCAATTTAAATTATGTCTATAATTATATCAAAAATAATTACAATTTGAGTAACCTAATAAAACAGGACGTTTATATTTCAAATTTTTGAAATTTTAAACTCCAAATATGCCTCAACTAATGCCAAATTGATTTATGATGAAATATCTAAAGTAAAATAAGTTTATGATGAAATATGAAATAACTAAAGTATCAGCCTATACGTATCCCACTGCTAGGCAAAGGCTCCCTCTGTACAAAGGGTCTAAGAACTTTACATACGAGACATACACAAGACTTTACATATGTTAAAATTATTTTTTTATTACTATTTCGATAATATACTGGTTTTGCTCACTGTTTTCCATCACCGCTGACCACACGATAAGTCAACACGTTAATTTGCATATTTACACTTTAATTACTGTTAGAATAGAAGGATCGAGCATAATATATGCTTAAATATTTGCTTTGTTATTTCATATGTTGTCAATGTTATGGACACCGTCATTTTCATATGTATCAGCAATAAGTTTTTATAATCAAATCCACTATGTAAATGTCCAATATATATGATGTGGTTGTACTTTAAATAAATAAATATAGCATATTATAATTACAGGTAAATTCGGAAATTAAATTAAAAAAATATGATACTAATTAAAACTTATAACATAACTTGACATAACTATTGACATAATTTGTATTTATCAGATATAACTAAACCTTATTTACTTTCTATAAACCGGTTGCAACATACATCAGTAAGAATCATAACCTTCACAAAAGAAAAGCAATAGAAAGTAAAAATATGTTACGTGTGGTCAAAGATATTACAACTTTCCGTGTGAATTCGCATCGGATTATAATTTCATTCTACTTAATTTAATAAATTTTTTTCGACCAGAATATTAACACCAGTATTATTATTTATACAGAAAGAAAGTAAATGACAAGGCAAAAATTTTTTTTCATGCGTTTTCATTAACATAATGGATGTTCTTCTTGTCTGTACAAGTTGCCGAAGTCTTGTGAAATGGATAAACATTGGAGATAATATTTAAACGGAGAGCTTTAAATGTAGCTTTCATTTTAACGTTGCATTATGTATTTACTTCGGCAGCCGTAAACTGATCATGCTAGCTTAGCGGGCAAGTAAACCTTGTGCTCCGGTGACAGTGGTGAGCGAAGAGCGCGTCACACTCACGCCCCGCGCCGCGCCCCACCCCGCCGCGAAACCGGTCCAGTTCGTTGGCATCCAATGCGACCACAATCACCGAATAGCCCTAATGGCGAGTTACAATGTTCATCACTAATGGACTAATGCACGAATAGACAATTTTCGGTCCATTCTTTATGGCCTTACCTACCTCTGCGTTCATGGTCGTCGGTTCAATTGTAAAGTAGAACGAAGTACTCAGTAGTGTCGCCATCAATTATATTTTGGCTAATTGAACTATATATAGTAATCTTAATTCTGTGATGTTTTTTAGTTTACATTTTTAAGATCCAGATTAAAAGGAAATAATCTTTGCTTAAATACAAACACTACGCCACACACTACGCCATTCGACGACCCGAACGGCGTAGTGGGTAGTGTACCTGCCTCCTGCGCCAGAGGATGTGGTTTCGATCCCCACTACTGGAAAAATATTGTGTGATGAACATGGTGTTTTTCTAGGTGTATGTATGATATGTATTTATTTACAAAAAAAGAAAAGTATGTTTAAGTATGTTTATCAGTTTTCTAGTACCCATAGTACAAGCTTTGCTTAGTTTGGGACTAGAAAATGTTGTGTACAAATGTGTCCTAAATATTTATTTATTTATTTATTTATAGATAATATTATGCTATAATACTACACGAAACAATAATTACGAATACCCCTACTTTACATTGATCTTCTGGAGACCTTGGAACTACGTGCGAAGAACCGAAGCTATCCTCCACTTATATAAAATCAGTTGTTGTTCACGTAACATCGGCGACAGTACTAATAAGTGTTTCGATATCATTGACCTCGGAGAGTTTAGTTAAATGACCGATTCTCAATCTCGGTTGTTTTCACTTTCGTTTCGAATTCCCCTCGCGTAAGAGCTACCTACTTAGTGACACGCATACAAATCAAGCGGCCATTCTGACGCCGTCTACTTTTTGTAACTCGCCAACTGAAATAATTACGGCCATTTGTATTGTACATGTTACATGTTTATATAGACATAGGTATACTCTCTAGAAGTGGGCGATAAAAATCGTATCAAATTTCAAATGATTTTCAGATATTGTACCAATATATAGTTTTCATCTATATATTGGTACAATATCTGAAAATCGCTTACTGGCTCGTTCAAAATCTATGTATTTTACAATATCTCATATTTCCGAAATCTGATGGACCGAATACTCGCTCACTCGCTATTACTCTCCTACAGGTAAGTTTTTTAAGTACTTGATATTGTATATTTATTTGAGAGAATTTTGGGCGAGTACCACGTTTATACCATCCATATGCTCAACAGTGTTATAAAATACCATTTACATTTCGACGGTAACACATGACTCCGCCAGCGCATTGCATCTCTCCCTCGACTAGACGTCATGATGCATTTCGAGATAACGGCGAGACGCTATTGCCGCATTTTGTCTATTACTTAACGGATTTGCACTTCGTTCAGAATGACGTTCTTTACGAAAATTTAAAACTCACGAACAGATCAATCTCTTGGCTGTAATGCCACATTTTATAATCAAAATACATAGAGATTGAATAGGAAAACGGGAAAGGAATACATATTTGCCAAATACAAAATGTATTTGATATTGAGAATTTAAAAGAAAACATCTTGATCGTTTAGCTAATCTTTATCATTGTTGAAATTATTGCTTGATGTGTTAAATCCCAAATGTTCGTTGAGATATACTTATTATCCATATATTGTGATTTATTTAACGAATTTGTGGGGGACTCGTGCCCAGCCTTTACAGCACCATGTTGGAATCGTCGGAAATCAACACAATTGAAACGTGATAACATTTGAAATATCTTATTAAATCAGAATTATTTCCAATTAGTATTTATTTCTATCGGTAGAAAAAAAAAAAATAACACCAACGACAATGTTTTGAAACAATATGAAGTAAGGTGCAACAAATGAAATTATTTCAATAAGTTTTAGCCTGTGTCGACGTAAAAGGTTGTGAAACTACGTTGGCTTCATTATTACGAAGTCTGGACTTCGTAATAATGACACCAACCGAATATTGAAGCGAGTACACGAGGGGATGCGAGGTGCATGAGAACGTAGCGCTCACGCGTAGCCTGTCCCAGTTGCAATGGACCGAAGCTTCTCCCACCGCGCGCCATCCAGTTTCAGAACTCTGCTTCTTTGGATAACGGTCTTCAGCACGAGTAACAGTAACGTCACCGTTGACATGCCCAGCACATTGATCTGCTCGTTCACGATCCTATCACCACTGGCTCGAGAAATGCAAATTACAAAAGTCGGAAAAGAGACAGATTTTGCAAAGTATTAGTGGTCTCTTACTCCAGTTAACGATTATCCATACAAATATTCTCAAGCCATGGCCTCATTTTCGAACATGCTTACTTTTCTTAATCATTATTTGATACAGTTCTCAACTTTACTGAGATTAAAGAGAATAGTGACAGAATTTGTACTAAAAGTACCTATGATGTTCGTAAAAATAAATTATTTTATATTTATTGATGTTACACAACCCTTTAAACAAAACACTTACATAAATTTTACAACAAAGCTGCTGCATAATGATTCATGCCATAAACGATTAAGATTGCCGATCCAATGCTTAAAGTTATCAATTTGATACGGATTAGAGCGTTTTAGTTCAAAGTGGAATTAACCACAGCGTACCGTGACCGGTTGTTCACAGTCGAGTTGGCACCTTCCCCATTTACAACCTGTCCACCGAACCAAGCAGAAATTATACAGTTTATTTAAAAATAATAGGTGCCTCCACAGGGCACTTCGGTATGAATACAACTAATTCAAAGAAACTGACATCCCATCTTTCCCAATTACATAAAAATGTAGTGTGTGTTACACCTTATCTTTTATACAATATCAACATCATGAAATATACGTGAAATAGGCATTTTCATTATTTCAAGAATTAATTAATATAATACATGTGCTTTAATCATAACACGAATCTACAAATATTGTATATAAATATGTACCGTGATAGTTCATTTCCGGGCGCGCGCTTTTCATTAATTACACTCTAGCAACCAGAGTTCAATACCCGGTGCCGACACCAATGAAATTGTTACTTTTAAGTGCTGACTTATCACAAGTACTCAGTGGTTTAGGAAGACATCGTGAATATACCTGCATATTTTAATATAATGACAAAAGTATTTATTATGTATGTATATGTATAAAGTATGTATTATTTAACAAATTTCGAAGATATAATGTGAAGTCCTGACGTCCACGCCATTACATAACACCTCATACAGAAAAGGTTTTTGCCCAGCCGTAGGACATTTATACCCTGTTGCATTACTTTTACTTTACTTTACTTTTACTTTAAATGAAAAAATATATAGGTACCTCTAACATTTAACTGTACCTAATTGGTGACATTTTATTTGTTTCAGATCCTTTGGTGCCTGTTAGCAATGCAAGGCGTGCTGTGGAGTGGCGTGAAAGGCCACGGCAGACTCATCGAGCCCCCCTCTAGAGCGTCCGCTTGGCGGTTCGGCTTCGATACGCCGCACAACTACAACGACCACGAGCTCTACTGCGGAGGGTTCACGAGGCAATGGAACAGAAACGGCGGCAAATGCGGCGTGTGCGGTGACGCTTGGGACAGCCCCATACCTCGGCCCCATGAGTTGGGCGGCCGCTTCGGCAAGGGGGTTATCGTTCGCCGGTATGCCCCCAAGGACACCATCGTCATCAAAGTCGAGCTCACGGCGAGCCACATGGGCTATTTCGAGTTCAGAGTGTGCGAAGAACCGAAGGCCACCACGCAAGAATGCTTGGATAGAAATGTTCTTAAATTGGACACCAAAAACGCCACTAAATACTATCCTAAGGACGGTAATAGAGTATACGAGATGAAATACCAATTGCCCGACGATCTGGAATGCTCACACTGTGTACTTCAGTGGAAGTACATTGCGGGCAATAATTGGGGGACATGCGAAGACGGCACGGGTGCTGTGGGTTGTGGACCGCAGGAGGAATTCAGGCGTGTGCCGACATAGCCATTGGCGACAAGTTCACGACCTCCACGAAACGGCCGAGGCCCACGTACGTGCCACCGAGCAGGAAACCCACCCTGCCAACGCCAGAGGAGTCCACTGGCAGCGCATGGTACGGCATCGTCATCGCCATCGTCACGCTGTTCGTGGCGGTCGCCACCCTGGCCGGTATCTACCTATACTATTACAGAGGCGGTATGCGAATAAAGAACCTGCTGAAATCGAAGGCTGCGCCTCCGGCTCCCGTGCCCCCGCCGCGTCACAAGAGATCGTCTCTGTCCAGAGAACAGCCACCTGTCATATCCTCACCGAAGCCCATCTCAGATATGGGCTTTGAAACGGTGGATCTTCGATCGAAGTGATGACGTAATGACAAAAGTAAACAAGAGCACTGCCCTAACTGGTGATATTATAATTTTAAATTCGTGGTATGACTGTCGTGTATGTGTAGTGTTGTTAAATTGAGAGGAAATGTCGATTCCAAAAAATCACACTAAGCCGATATTTCAAAGTGAATGGCGTTTAACTAACAGCCTTTAATGTCAATAAAAATGCAAATTGTACAGTGTTGTATATTTAACTCGTAAACGATTTGCCTACGATATTTGTCGAACGTTTACAACTTAAGCTACTTAAGTTAGATTTAATTTTAAATTATATTTATGTTCCGAATTAAATAAAAAATCTAAAATTAACTAAATTGTTCTCTATTTCCCGATCTTCTTTTACAAATATATCCTTTTCTTTACCATGCCAATAACTTAATTTTGAAGACTAATGTTTTGTAGGCTCAAGCCCATACCGATTTTGAATATAAGTTTTAAAAGCACTCAAATATCCATGATTAAGCTTGCTAACTATTAATTATTCTCAAAGCCATTCTCTCTAGTTGCTGCTTGATGGATAACTGAAAAGGAGACATCCTAAATGCACCAAGCAATTTCAAGTACAGCTTTCGCCCGATCTCCGAATCCAGCGAATCCGATCCGAACTATAGCTTAAAAAAGGAAATGATACAAACTTTACAAGTGAGACCGCTTAGCTTACTTTCCTCTGTTTTGTGACTGAATTTGTGCCTTAAAATGTTTTTGCTATTAATCCACCGACTTTTAAAGCTTCATTGAACGCAGAGCTCATGGGTAGCCAGATTCCTATACACATATTATTATATTTCCATAGACACATACATAATTATTGTCGAATTAATGGCGATATGCATTAACGGGGCCCAGTTTTTAGTTCGGACTAACTGCCAGCAGGCAGTGTCTAGAAAAATATCCCTCCCACGTGGTCTGACGGTGTTCAATATTTATGATATTTGACTTCGAGTATCGGTTAAAGCCCCGTTTATCCTTTTTTTTTCGTAATAAATTGCAAAAAAGCTACGAATTGCAGTGTGTTGGTCCCCGCCTTCGAACACAGTGAAACAAAAATACTGCATGCAGAATATTTGAATAACAACACAGTAATAGTAATTAATTTATTATGATTATTTTTAATGTAAAAAAGTGGCAAACGAGCTGGTGGTTCACTTGATCTTACGTAATAACCGTCGCCCATTGATTTGCAACACCTGTAGGATTGTTAAAGCGTTGCCATCTTTTAATAAGTGGGCCCCGGCTACCTCACTCACCAGACGAAACGCACTTCTACTTTACGCCGGTCTTATGTGAGGGCGTGATACTTACCCAGACGGACCTGCCCATTCGTACAACTGTGAAAACTGTTACGTGGCCCTACCACAGTCAAATTTAGTATTTACTGAACAAGTTGAACCATGGACTGATGATAATTGGCTTCAACCTTAAAAACCGTTTTTTGTTTGCTTTAGTAGCTGCACCATTCGTAAATCCCGACAACGGAAATTAAGCTCCTATTTTTATTAGAATGTAAGACAAGTCTCTACCTAAATACACGAGCGTTGAAACATACTTTATATAAAAATAGCCGAGTCCTGTTCTCACCCTTAGAGAAAAGTTATGAAGATCTAGTTCTGGTTGGTACAACATGTGAATTGTCCTTGCAAAAAATACGCACATCCGGAACAATTATCTGTAGTTTCCAAAAATAACTACTTGTCTCTTGTGATAATTAAACACATGAACTGCACCACCCGATCGTTGTCACATATTCCGTTACCATTCTATAATGGAGTCAATGGCATTTATCTAATTTCATCGAAACTTATCAGTATTAATTTTGGCTAAAACAAAAATTCTCGAAAGTTATTGTAGGATTGATAGAAAATCCTGAGTTTTTAAATTGTAACTTAAAAATGTGTTATACATTGTGTTGTAACTTAATAATGAATGATTGTGGGTTACGTCAAAGTACGCTCAACATAATTCAATTTAAACTTGTAATTTTTGAAGTGAAACTTCTTTATCGGGGTTGGAAAAAAATTTAGTGTAACATTTTTGCGTTACGCGCCATCTTGTTCTTATCTTAAAATGTTCCTCTAATGCCATCTAGTGTTGAATAGGGGGTTTTATGTCTTTATTCTTTAGTGGTTTTAATAGTTGACACTAGATGGCGTTAGTTCCTCTGCAAGTTCATAACTATATATATATATATATATATATATGTTATATTAAAGTGATCAGCAAAATCAAAGGGTTTATTTTAATTCTAAAATGTAAACAATATATTTCGTATTTCAGTTACCATAAGCCATTAATAACACAAATATATAAAAAAACGACATCAATGATAGTAATAATTCTATTACAATTAATGAAATTCAATAATAATATTTGTAGTAATGACAGTGCTAGCTCTAATACTTCAGAGCACGACACTGTGACCTGACTGCGCCTTCCACCGAAGACACAATCTGAAGCTGACCGATGATGCTTTTCGAAGCCTCGATCGGCTCCTGGAACTTGCGGTTGCGACGTCCGCAAAAGTTCGGTTTTCCAAAAAAACTTAACTCACAACACTGGCCGCGCGAGGCGAATGTCTGCCCCTTCTACTCACTGGTCGACTATTCGGCAACGAAGGGTGCAAGTTGCAAGTTGCAATCAACAATTTTTGCGGACCCTCATACTAATTACAACGGTCAAACCATAGTGTGTTTTAATTTACTACTAACGGCACCTATGTATTACAAATAAGAAACTAAATATTATACAAACCTAAAATGAAATAATTGTAGAATTTGTATTTATGTCTATGATAAAAAAACTTTATCTAATTTAACTTTATTTAACCAATTTCTGTAAAGTTGCATATAGTAAATTATTTTTTGAAAAATAACGTCATAAAAAAGTTTCACTTCTTAAGAGTGTACGCTAGTACACGCACACATTTTTTTTTTAATGTAAGTTTACAATGAATTTTCATATCAAAATTCAATGAAACAAAAATGAAACACTTCAATGTTTCTAAATTTATACACTTCGTAAAAAAACCCCCTAAAAATTGAAACTAAAATTCAAAATATGCTTGCTCGTTCTTACAAATATATTAAAAATGTTACTGATCGTTGTCTGTGCATGGAAGATATTTGAGAAAATATATTATGGGTGACCTTTATCAACGCAATAGAACGCGAAACAATAATTTTTGAAATTTTTGTCTGTTTATCTGTTTGTTTGTGCTTTTGTGCGCTTTAAAGAAACGGCTGGACCGATTTGAGTGTAAATGCTCACTAATGTATTGTAGTAAGCTTCACTTAACATATAATGGTAATTTTATTTAAATCGAAATTTAAATTGTTTATAGTGGTAATCTTTGCACTTAAGATTGAACATTAAAATATGTAGAAAAAGTCCGAAAAGATTGTCGCCGCTGTAGCATAATGCTAAGAAAACAATGTAGAAGAATACGTTAAGATTTTCGGCGCTGTGGCTATCAGCCGTTTAGCTCAGTGGCTAGAGCGTCAGGCCGCGAATGCCGAAGACGTGGGTTCGATTCCCACAGCGGCGACAATCTTTTCGGACTTTTTCTACATCAACTTCTTATTTAAGTGGTATTACCCAAACAAAATCAAAAAGAAAGCAATGTCAACAACAATATTTTCAAACAAAATTAAGGAATGTTAATTTGAATTAAATTTCTTAATAATTAAAATAGAATAAAAATTAAAAAATATAGATTAGAAAGACAAAAAATTAAGATTATAGAAATTGAAATCGCCTTAAAAGTTAAAATGATGTGTTAGTGTGTTCTTACTTACTACATATAATAAAATTGTTCTATTTGGAAAATCTTGTCTTGTCTTGTATACGGACATTAGAAGCCTCTAATGTCCGTATAACGTCCGTATAACACAAGATATATTTATTTGAATATTACGAAATTATTGAGTTTTCGATGACTTTCGTGATCCGCGAAATAAGATAACTGACGAAAGAGACTTTATTTTCACTGGAATATTAGCTTTAAAAATATTTAAGAGACCTCGTAACCACTCTCAGATCTAAAGGCTACTCAGATCGTTTTGACGTTGGTTTGACAGCTAAATAGCGTTAGGTGGCGTTTCAGTATACGAAATTTTCACGAGTAACGTTTAGGTACAACTTAACTTGACGAATTTAGTGTTTGCGAGCTGCTCAAATGTTTAAGGTGCCTTTAAATATTTAAGTAACGTTTTAGTATTCGGCCCTCAATGGCTTAGTGGCTTAGTGGGGTAGTACTCGCCTGCAGCCTAAGATGTTGGGTATTCGATTCCGTGTCTCGATTCTTTATTTTTGTTCTTTCAATAATATACAGGGAGGCTTTCCTAAGTCTATCCATTTTTTATTAAATTCTAGACATAAATAATGTTATATAAAAATGATAAATATTTAAAATCATTCGTAATTAATTACATTCATTTGAACTTATCTCAAAAAGTGCGTAATTTATAGGCAACTCATATATTTTACGCGCGATCATTCATAACTAACACGCACACAAGTTCGTTTCAAAAGTATACGACGCATTTATAAATGACTACCGCATTGTCAACAATATAAACGATTATACTACTAAGTCTGAACCTCCTGTGTAAATTTGAGCACCTTTAGAAAAGCCTTTCAAGCTAATGTAAATTACATATACAGGGTGTATATGTAATTTACATTAGCTTGAAATTGATTTCCGTGAAGTAACGCCTTATTCAACTAATTAACAAACATATTTGATCAACGAATAAAAAATAATTGATTTTTTCATGATATTCGTTTCATAAACAAAATCATCATAGTTAAAATGACTAGTTCATTTGTTCAAAGACACGCTCGATTTGCACATGAGTCGCGCGGCGGGCAAAACAAGAATGTTTAAAATTGAGATCAACTTTCTGTGTGCGTACAAATGAATTGTTCATTTTATTTGAAAATAATTTGGGCCCAAGGGGCCTCCACTCCTTTGTTGCCCCGAGGCCTCCACACTTCTAAATGTGGCCCTGCTTACTTGTCTATCCGTCGATTTCAATTTCCTATCTACTGCTTTCCCGTATCCCGTATAAGAGTGAAATCATGACCCTAAGGTTGATTTGGCTTTACTTCGATGACAGAGCTTGAAAGGATTAACGTCTGCCGGTGTCCACACAAACTAGACTTAATAAAGAAAATCTACATAAAAATACATTTTTATAACTGGTCAACACTGAGCAACTCTAACTATTTAATCTGTTCTGTCATTCGATGTCAATTGTCACTGTCAGTCGGCAACCAATCCAACGACAAGCGCAAAACAAACGTGCAGAGAAAATTGTAAAAAAGACACAAAATTGCGTTTATTTACCAAAAAATATATTTTTAAATGAAAAATGGCGGTGCGCCCGCAGCACGTTCATGATGGCGGCATTGTAGAACGCCGGTTGCGACCGATATATGGTAAATGATCTTTTTAACCTATTAGTAGGATTCATTTATATTGTTATTACGATGTATTAATTTATGGGATTACAGACTGGTTGGACAATGGAGTGAATAAGAAAGCGTTGCAAGAAGCAGAGAAAGTACTCAAAAAAAGTCCATCACTTCAAGCAGCACGAGCTTTAAAAGCTCTCGCACTTTTAAGGTTAGGAAAGAAATCTGAAGCACAGGGCGTATTAGATTCACTTGCTGAAGAGAAGCCTAGTGATGATACCACCTTGCAAGCGATGACAATATTCTACCGGGAATCTCAGCAATGTAAGAAACAAATAATGTAATATATTTTATTGATATCATTCTATGTGTTTAAAAAGGTTATCTTATTGAACTGAATCACTAAGAATTATTTAATTAATAAATTAAATAAAAATTTTAAGAGATAAAATATAAAGATTTTTTCCATTTACTCATCTAACTTAAAAATGACAATTGTATGCAATTGTAATAACAAACATAACTCTCATATTCTTTGGATGCTAATAGATGGTCTATCCATTGGGTATAAAAGAGAAAATTCCCCATAAAACCCATTGGCCAAACTACAGGAATTGTGTCCTAAAACTTTAAGATAATTAAAGGATGTCAAGTGTAGTGGACACTGTAATTCAACCATCAAGAACCTTGTAATTCATTAGTGCTCTGTAAATTTGCAGTACATAAAGTATGTGCACTATATGAGGCAGCAGTCAAAGCGGAACCTGGCAGCGAGGAGCTGCACTCACATCTATTTATGTCATATGTGCGTATAGCCGATTACCGTGCACAGCAACGTGCTGCTATGGCTCTTTATAAATTGGCACCCAAGAACCCTTACTACTTTTGGGCTGTCATGAGCATTGTCTTGCAGGTCTGTTAACAGTCACTCCTATGAAAACATAAAAAATACTTGTATTAAAATTTGTAGAAAAAATGGACAAAAAGCTATTACCACTGTGGGAATCGAACCCACATTTTCCGGATTCACATCCTGACGTTTTAAGTGCTAAGCTAAGAAACTCATTACCTTAAATTCCGTCTGCATTAATATTGAAAGATAAATATTTTATCTAATAACCCATAAAGTGTTTAGTCAATATTTCTTGATTAGATTGATAAAAATAAACTTTGTTATATATTCTCTCAATTGCTCTATAATAATGTATTTAATAGTATTAATACATTTATAAATATGTTAATAATAAGTAAATAAACAATTTTCCAGGCTAAGTCAACAGATGATGTTGCTAAGAAAGGTATCCTTCTAACTTTGGCTCAGCGAATGGTAGACAATTTTATAATGGAAAACAAAATGGAAGCTGAACAAGAAGCAAGACTGTACATCATGATACTTGAACTTCAAGAGAAATGGGAAGACATTATAAAGTTCATAGAGGGGCCACTATATTCACAAGTGGTGCCAGGTTCTATGGCACAAGCAAGCATACCATATCTTAAAAAACTCGGCCAATGGAGAAGACTAAATTTGTTATGTAAAGATTTGTTGTGGGATAACCAAGATCGTTGGGATTACTACATGCCTTATTTTGATTCTGTATTTGAATTAATAAAAGGAGCCGATCCTGATGCCGAAAATTGTAACAGCTCTGTAGATGATACTGCAGAGAAGTGCCATGAATTTATTTGCCAATTAGTAGAGAGCATATCTTCTGGACGAACATTGAGGGGTCCATACTTAGCCAGGCTGGAGCTGTGGAAGCGGCTCTCGGAAGGAGGCGACCCAACAGCCCTCCTGGGAAGTGGGATGGCGTTATGTGTTCAATATCTTAGAGTCTTTGCAAATAAATCATGCTCCGTACCGGATATCAAACCTTATCTATCCATGATACCACAGAAAGAGCGAGAAGAGCATTGCAGAGATTTTCTTACATGTTTAGGTTTCGACGAGAACAGTGAGCCCGACAATGTAAGCTCCTTGAAATATCCCGCTTGTTACCTGTGTAGTTTTACAAAATACAATGGTCTTCAATGAGTATATACATTAGTGGCGTGTGCACCGTTAGGCGGCGGATATCCAGCGGCACATCTCGTGCATGTGCGCGTGGCGCGTGTGTTCGCCGGAGGCGGGAGCGGAGGCGGGCGCGGAGTGGGCGCGCTTGGGCCGCACGCTGTCGGCGCACTACCTGCGCTGCCTCCGCGGCGGGCTCGTGACCGCCTCCGCCACCGAGGCGTGCGCCGCCGACGGCTACGCCACGCTCGCCGCGCACCACTACTTCCACGCCGGTGCGCCATTCGGCCTCGGTTCGTTCCGCCCCGTAGAGATGTAACGAGCCCCGCTCTCTTCGGCCCGCAGCCATGCAGCGGCAGGACGCCGCGCCCCTTGAGGAGGCGCTGGGGCTGCTGGAGCTGGCGCTGCACCACTCGCCCGCCAACCTGCACGTGAAGTTGCTGCTGCTGGCGCTCTACCACGTGCTGGGTGAGCGGAACGAGCGCAAGGCTCCTCTGCGCAAATGGTTCCCCATGGCTGACCGAGGGCCTTCTGCCGCAGGCGCCGGCGCGGCGGCGGACGCGGCCTTCGCGCGCCTCGAGGCGAAGCACGTGCAGCTGGCGGCGCTGTGCTGGCTGCACGCGGCGCGGCTGCCGGCCGTCTCGCCGCGCGCCGCTCCGGCCCGCCTCGGCGACGCGCTGGCCTTCTACCGCAGCCACGCCAAGGACGTGAGTGCCGCGCTCCGCCCGCCCACCGCCAGGGCCGGCCCCATGACCCACTTCTGCCCGCTGCCCCGCAGAGCGTGGAGCACCTGACGTACGCGTACAAGTACGGCACGTTCGAGAAGCTGGTCGAGCTGAACGCGTGGCACGCGCGGCTGGAGGCGTGCGCGTGGGCGGCGACGGCTGCGCGCGAGAGGGCGCTGCTGGCGCTGCAGCAGGCGGCGCCCGCGCCCCCGCCCGAGCTGCCGCCCGCGCTGCCCGACCGGCTCACGTGAGCAACCGAAGCCCCCACTCGCCCCGCGGAGCCCTCGCGCCACCACTAGCCGCTCGCCGCTCCGCAGGGACAACCGCGACCTGGGGGTGATAGTGAGCTGGGAGCCGCCGCAGAGCCGCGACCCCGACCTGAAGGCGCGCACGTTCGAGCGCGACGTGGCGCTGCTGCGGCTGAAGGACCTGCTGCTGGGCGCCGTGGCGCTGACGGCGAGCGCCGCCGCCGCCCCGCACGATGGGCGGCCGCTGGCCCAGCTGCGGCAGCGCGCCGCCGCCCTGGCCGAGCACGTGCGCCGCTGCACGGAGCTGTACCGGCGCCCGGAGAGGCTCTCCCTGTCGGCGCCGCTGCCCTCGCGGATCTTCGGTGAGCTCTCGGTGCTCAATACGCGTACGGAGGAGGCTTTTACCGTTTTTGATATTTTGCGCTATTATAGATTGTTAAAAAATATATTAATATCGGGATTCGACGCCTAGCGCGAAAACGAAGTTTTTTCGCTAATTGAGTGTGTGGTATCCGGTGGTTGTAACGAACGAGCATGGCTTGTGGCAGCACTGGTGCAATCGCCGGTGGGCTACGGCGCGCTGTACGAGGGCGTACTGCAGCTGGCACAGGCGGCGTGCGCGCGGCAGGCGAGCGGTGCGGGCGCGGATGGGGGCGTGGGCGTGGGCGTGGATGGGAGCGTGGGCGTGGGGGTGGATGCGGCCGTGGGCGTGGGCGCGGTGGGCGAGGCGGTGGCGTCGCTGCGGGCGCTGGTGCGCGCCGCGCGGCCGCACGTGGCGCCCGCGCCCGCCCACCGCCTGCAGTGGCGCGACTCGCTCGAGCACCTCTCCAACTTCCTGGAGGTATGCTGCCAGCGAGGCTTTCTTTTTTGCACGTTATTATTTTTTTTAAAATGTCATTATTGTAATCTATCAATTTGCAGATATTCAGCAACATGTAAAAAATGAGAAGGGTTTGCACGATAGCCGTCCAGTGACTGCTCCGTTTATTCATGTGCCTTTCAGAGAAGGTCTTGGGGAATCTTTCTCTTTAGTCTACGAGCAGCTGTTTGGGTGTTCATTAGATTGACTGCCAGCATATTTGGGTGATTAGTGATTCGCTTCTTGTATGCTTTAATCCTTTAGGAGATTTCTTCTATGACGCTTTTGACGCAGAGGACGTGATGGAGTCTAATGTTGGAGACACTACCAAGATACGTTCGTTATTATTCTTAATCTTTGACTGAAATCTCTGTATAATTTCAATGTTAAATTTTCTGCTGTTCCCCAGAGTTCTAGGCCATATGTCCATATATGCATTTATATAGCTATATTTTATTCTGAAGTGAGAGGCGTGATTTTTTATTTAGTAGACAGTACATAGTACGCAACTGTTGGCCCATAGCTAATTGCTTTGTGAAAATATGCTTCTTCCAGGTTAGGCGTCTATCTAATATTCCAAGATACTTGACGTGATCCTCTTGGGGTAGAGGTATGCCATTTAGAGTAACGGGTGGACATGTTTCTTTCCTGTTTGTAAAAGTAACTTGGACAGATTTGGTTTCGTTGGCTTTGATTCGCCAGTCTTTGAACCATTTGGATAATTGATCGAGACTGTTTTGAAGCTTTTGTGCTGCAATGTCTGGTGAATTGTCCATGCTGTGTCATCAGCAAATGTTCCAGTAACTACTCCATCAGTCGTAGGGAGATCAGCTGTAAAAAGCAGATACAACGTGGGACCCATGACGCTACCTTGCGGAACTCCAGCTTTAATAGCATATGTTACAAGAAACATGTTTACAAATGTATTGAAGTCAACTTCAAATAGCCTGGATCGATTAATTCATTTCCAGAGAGTGTTATCATTTAAATAATATCTATCCAATAATATCACTAACATGTTATAATTTAAATTATAATAGCCTTTAACACACGTACATTCCCTTACAATTTTTTTTAATTTATAAATTGATACATTGTGAATCTTTTCTGGGATTTTGTTGTAAGAATGCATACATTGTCCCATAAAAGAAGTACTTATTCTTCGCAGTCTAGCGCCCGATAGGAACGCCAGCAATGCTGGACGAAGAGAAAGCCTCCAGTCTGCTTCCGGTCAACCCCGAACACCTTCGTAAGGTAAACGAAGAGGTAGAAAGGAAAGCCTTAGAGCCACTTCGCGAACTCGTTCCCCCGGTCACGTGCTTAGAACTTGTAGAGAGCATTAAAAAACTGCGCCCAAATAAGCGCCTGGCTCAGATGGTATCACCAATAAGGTGACCAAACTCCTCCCTACTAGCATCCTTCAGATACTAGTAATAACATACAACGCGGCTTTAACCGAAGGCTTCTTCCCGTCCGAATGGAAGGAAGCTGATGTCATAGGGTTCCTCAAACCCTCCAAACCCGCCACTCTCCCAACCTCATATCGTCCAATAAGTCTTCTCAAAACTTTTGGGAAGATCTTTGAAAGACTAATATTAGCCCGCCTAAGATCCCTTATGGACACTAAAGGCCTCCCCATCCCAGAATAGTTTGGATTTAGAGCCAAACATTCATGTACCCACCAAGTGCACCGCATCACGGAGCACATTCCAGCCAAACGCCAACGCGGACTCAACACCGGAGCACTCATCCTAGTCGTGGCAAAGGCGTTTGATAAAGTCTGGCACAACGGGCTCGTATACAAGTTATACGGGTACAGAGTACCCGACCGTCTCGTATGCATAATACGAGACTTCCTGAGTAATCGGACCTTTCGCGTCGAGGGCGTGTGTTCGACAACGCATCCCGTTCGAGACGGGGTGCCCCAAGGGTCGGTGTTGGGCCCAGTCTTTTTTACGCTCTACACTAATGACATGCCGCGTGTCAAAGATCTAATTTGCCCTTTTTGCCGAAAAAACGTCAAAAATGTCCCTTCGGAACAAGATGACCCTATATAAGGCAGACGTACGCGAGTCCGGTTTTCGCACACATTGCTCCAAAGCAAATACACCGGCTTCAGGTCATTCAAAAGCGCAGAGCTACAGGAGCACCCTGGTTCATGCGCAATATCGACCTACATGTCGATGTAGGGTTGCCCACCATCGCTCAATTTTCGAATCCGCCGCCGCGCACCCATTAATCGTAGGAGCCGTCACCTACAGACCCACGCCGCTAGGTACGTTCCGCCGCAATCACCGTAGACAGCGACACTTTCTCGACTTTCCTGACGATGAGACGACTATCGCCATCGAAAGGAACAAAAAAACTACGCAATCATACCAATACATACCGCAGTTGCCGGCGAGTGCAGCAAACATATACTAGGTCCCGCCACGCACCTGGCAGGTTCTCCCCAATTAATGATAGAAGCGTTGCTGGAGTTTCTTCCGCCACTTCTTCTCCCAGCGCCAACGCTATACTAGGTGATAGTAACGATAGTTAGAAATCCCCGCAGCCAGATAACAGCTACCGATCGAGCCGAGGTCCGGCCCTCTCGATTACCCTCGAATCGGAAAGCTTAAGTGACAGCCCAAGCCGAGGTCCCCTCTCGAGGACCCTTGAGCCGAGTCACTCCATGGAGCGTCCACCAAAGCGCCCTAAGAGCTTGGCGGCGTCCCAAATCGATGATAATTAAAGCGTGCCGGCCCGAGCCGACGAGCCCTCAAGCTTAGCCACCCCAACGCGTAATTATAATACGCCGAGGTTCAGGCTAGACGCCTCGAGTGCCCGGCCACCTCAAGTCCGTCGGAACTGTAAGTACTGTATCGCCAACAGTGGCTAATCCAACCAAAATAAAAATTGTGGGTAGAATTAACTTATGTTTGTTCCTATTATTTATGTTATACACATTCATTCGTGTTTTTATGGACATACATAACATTTTCAAGTATGTACTGAGAAGCAACAGTCAATATTTTAATCTCTTTGAACAAAACTTTTAGTGTTCCTTTTAGGCCCAGATTATATACAGCGTGTGTTACCATCGCGACAATAAATGAACACACATATAGGGGATAACTTTTTAAAGTTGTATTAAACATTTAAATTCTTTAAACATCAATATTTACAGAGTTATTAAATTTTCCAAAACAAAGAATTTTAGAACTCCCTTACCTACCTATAAAAGCGTAACGTAAAGTTCATTTGTAAAGGTCACAAAGCATATGAATGGGTTGAACGAATTTAAAAGAGACAAAACATACTGTTAGAAGGAGAGGCTTGTAATACGACGCTGTGCCGCGAGTTGTAAAGGATGTTACAAATTTTGTTTCTTTTTTACTTAATTAGTTTGTTTGAAAAATATTTTTTTTTAATTATGGATTTTGTTTAAAGTTAATATTTTTTTATGATTATTGGCAAGTAGCGTTAGACGTGTGTTCATTTATTGTCGCGATGGTAACGACACGCTGTATAAACTGCTTGAATAGCTCTATTTTGGAAGACGAAGTTTGTATTTATATTGATGGTACAATTGATCAGAATGACCATCTTAATGATCACAATGTTCAATATTTTCATCCTGTTCATTAGCAGCTCCATCCTTCTTTTGCAAAATGGTCATTTCATTTAACACTGCTAGTATATTGTATACATTTTTCATTTTACTTATTTCTATTTATATCAACAGTTCTCAAATATTATATAAATCCTTAAATATGAGAACCGTTTATCATTGTTTATCATCAACATTGACTACAAAGTTTTACATAGTCCAAAAAATTGAATAATTACAATATAACAAAACACATTAGAAATTAAAACGAGTAATAAAAATAGTAATAAAAATACGAAAAGATGAATAATAAAAAATAAAAAGTACCTACTTTGAAAAAAATTGAGTCACAAGTATGTACCAGATTCAGATTTAGAATCCAATTCTGCATATGCTCTGTTAATTTTCGTCGTCTATATAATCACCATGTTTTCACCATCACCATGTCTATATAATCACGTAAACTCTCCAAGCTTATGTTTCCGTATTATATTGCTCATTATTTTAAATGAATCTGAAATATAGCAGGCGAGGTTCTTGTTTGACGGATGCAGTTTTGTCTGTCAGTAACACGCAGAGGTATTGATCAAAATGTTGAACTCAGGTCCAGTGTCGAGAAAATGCAATCTCATATTGCAATCTCTTATTTTTACTCTAAGGTCCTTAATAAATGGGACCAGCTTTGATTGAGGGACAGATAATGTAACTGGAGCTGCAAACGGACTGTACGATTCTTCTATTATATTTTATTCTAATAGTTTTGCAAACTAATTTTCAATCTCCTTTTATATGGCAAAAATATGGCCTTTTACAGCAATATTTTTCTACTACCAGATCAATGTGTGCTGCATACTCCGTTACCGTTCCGATTTCACATTTGACCTTTGCAAATACAGATTTATTGTTCAACTAGCGGCCCGCCCCGGCTTCGCACGGGTAACAATACATTTAACAAAAGATTTTAAAATTAAAAATTATCATACACACACATAAAACCTTCCGAATGTTTCGTCTGTGGTGAATAATTTTATGAATTTCTTAATCTTTCAATGAAATACCCTTGAAATTACGCCATGAAGATCGAAAGACCGCTGACCAGATAATAGTTCCGCTTTAATTTAAGGGACATTCGGGGTTACACGTAAAAGTGACAAATAAGTCTGGTCTCCCATAGCTTCGGACATAAATCACCGCATCTTTGGTTTTTTAATGCAGATAACTCGGAGAACCCGTAAATGAATATGACGTTGCAGATTACGCGTTGACCGATATTTGATGGGCCAATGTTTTGATTTAAGGCGTCTCTAAGATGAATGTTTCACCAGCCCTCAGTCTCTGGTGATCACGACATCATAATTATGTAATTCACTCTTTCTGAAATCTTTTTGCCATCATATCGACAATGTATTGAATAAAAAGCGGCCAAGTGCGAATCGGACTCGCACACGAAGGGTTCCGTACCGACCTCACAGAAGACCGGCGTAAAATAGAAGTGTTATACTTCTACGTTTCGTCTGGTGAGAGAGGTAACCGGTGCCCACTTCTTTAATGTTGGCAACACAGTTGTTATCACTTAACATCAGAGGAACCGGCAGCTCGTTTGCCACTCTATCACATTAAAAATCATGTTTTAATACCTTTATTCAATAGAAGTATAGAAGTATTACACTTACATATTGTCAAAAACGCCACTACTGTAAACATTATCTATAAAAACGACAAAAAAATCATGTCTGTTTTATGGGAGCCCGCTTATTTATACGTTTTTGTTTTTTGAAAATTTACACTGTCTAACTATCACGGTTCATGAGATACAGCCTGGTGACATATGGACAGACATACGGAGATACAGACAGTCAGTGGAATCTTAGTAATAGGGTGCGATTTTGCCCTTTGGGTACGGAACCCTAATAAGTCCCAGTAATAATGCAATGGATTAGAACAGGTGGCTCTAACCATCAACCTAAATGCATAAAATTCCATGCATGTCACAGTTTTGTTACTGTGCGTAACAAAACTGTGACATGCATGGAATTTTAGACCTTGCCGAAGAATAGTCAAATATTAACCGTCTTCTCCTATTACGACAATTAAGGAATATTTTAGTGCATCATACAATCTGTGTAACTCAGAGACCCTTTTAAGTTGGACATGCCTACCGTGAAACACTATACCTCTGGGGCCTTTTTAGGATTCCGTACCCAAAGGGTAAAACGGGACCCTATTACTAAGACTCCGCTGTCTGTTTGTCCCTCTGTCAACAGGCTGTATCTCATGAACCGTGATAGTTACACATTTGAAATTTGATCTGGGTATTTGTTTCCCAAGGAGGGTTGACGTCAGGCAGGCGGCTGGTTGTAAAAATATAGCCAAAACCGCTTACAACATGATTCATGTTGTGCCGAACCCACCTAGGAGGCAGGAGGATGATGATTGTTGTATATTGATGATACTTGTATACTTGTCCCTCTATTTTAAAAGTTCGCGTCAAACGAAGTCATTTGAAAAGGGCTATTGCACTTTCGAATGTTGGTTAAAAATGTCCAGATGGTGATTGATTATTTGTCAAAAGATTTTTATTGGCTGTGCTCCTCAATATTGGGGAGACTAACTTTTCCAGAAGCACAGCACAGCAGTTTTTGGTTCATCGACCCATTTTTTGGCAGAACACTTACAGCAGATCTTATTCATTGCTCCGATTTGGACGGAAGACTGTTGAGCTTAATGCATTAATGTTGATCTGTTACTGTGAGCTAAAAGTCGATTACGAACTCTAGTCATTGACGTTTCTTGTCTTTCTCTTTCATCTCGTAGGCGTTGGGAACGCTCAGAGCTCGATTCCCGAGTGTGAATTTGTATATTTATATTATTTTGCTCTTTAAGCCGCTCTACTTGACTCTCTCCAACTTGTAAGACGATTTACACTTTCCGCTAAAGATTCTTCATTACGGCGTATTTTTGATGCCCTTCTGGAAACTATTTCTAAAAAGATGAGATCTTGATCTTTTAGCCATTTTAAAAAGAAAAAAAAAAATTTAACTGCCTTTGTACTTAAATATTTGCTAGCTGTTAAACAGGAATTACCAGTATAAATGTGATTGAAAAATTATACGAACCACTAAGTCAGTCACTAAGCAGTTTGGATAGTTAAATTACAATATACTAACATTTTTAAACTTGTGATATTTTTCTAATGGAATGTCTGAATTTAATAATTCGAAAAGTAATATAAAGCTATTGAAACAGTCTTTAATATGAAGTAATTTATTTTTATAAGGATTAATACCAAGATACAAATAAAGAGCCTTTTCTAGCGGCGGCATTTCAATCAAAATTTTAAAATAAAAGAACACTTATTGTGGCATAACTATAATAGTTAGACATATGCTGTCGCGACACTTTTTAGTAAATAATGATGTGTTCTACAAATTCGTTGTACTTTATTTTATTCTATCATCAATAGTTTTCGCAGCGCACGCGATTTAAAGAATATTTTAGGTAATTTTTGTACACTTTGGGTTACATTATTGAAGTTTTAGTAAGGATCCCTATTTCTTTAAAAATATAATATAGCCTATATCAAGCGGGAATAATGTAGCTTCCCAACAGTGAAAGAATTTTTCAAATCGGTTCAGTAGTTTCGGAGCCTATTCAATACATAAAAAGTAAAGTAAAGTAACAGCCTATACATGTCCCACTGCTGGCAAAGGCCTCCTCTATACAGAGGGGATCAGGGCATAGTCCACCACGCGGCCCCACTGCGGATTGGCGGACTTCACATATCTTCGAAATATTTTTTGTTATTATTTCGAAAATATGCAGGTTTCCTCACGATGTTTTCCTTCACCGCGGAGCACGTGATAAATCAGCACTTAAAGTTAAAAACTTCATTGGTGCCGGCACCGGGGATCGAACTCAGGTTGCTCGAGTATATTGAATTAAAGGCGAGCGCCCGGACACTGAGCTATCACGGCTCTTACTCTATTCAATACATACAAACAATCAAATCTTTCCTCTTTATAATATAGATATAAAGTCATCAATTACTGCCTGTTTTTGATATTCCATACGATTTCTCCTTTCGTTGAAGTTTACTAAACTTTTTTTTTTTTATGTGAAAAGTTGCCAAACGAGCAGACGGTTCATCTGATGGTGAGTGAATACCGCCGCCCATGGACATCTGCTACACCCGTGGGTTACAGATGCGTTGACAACCTTTTGAAAATTGGACTCGGGGCTATCTCACTCACCAGACGAAACGTGAAAGTATTTGTCATACTTCCACTTTACGTTAGTCTTCTGTGAGGTCGTGGTACTTACCCGGACGGGCCTTCCCATTTGTGCATCAGCCGAGGCTGCTGCGTGGCCCTACCACCGTAAAACTATATTATCTAACGTCCATTCCTAATCTAATATCGTCGGTGATTTTAAGTAAGGCAATTGTGGTGGTGCTGAAACTTTGATTAATATCACACACTACGTTATTTTGATATATAAGGAAACAGGCGAAAGGTAAAACTGATAGTGATTTGAAAGTATTGTAAGAGGAACTTCAAAGTTGACAACAGAGTTCAGTACAGTTACAGTAGATACATAAAATAGTTAAAAGTAAAGTAACAGCCAATACATGTTACTCTGCTGGGCTAAGATCTCTTCTGTACTTCTGTAGTTATCAGGATATACTGAACACACGCGGCCGTACTGTAGATTGGTGGACCGCACTGTGGTGTCTTTAGAAATGTTTTCTTTTTTCTTTATTATTTCATTAATATGCAAGTCTCTTCACGATGTTTTCTTTTACCGTTGCACGTGTTATGCAAAAGATGTATAAGGTATAGTTTGAGTGTTCTAGGTATAATCCGTCGGAAATAGAAATAAAATTTTAGTGGCTCCGCAGACAACAGATGCCATAGCGGCATGGAAAGAACTTAAAAATTTCCACACAAATGCTGTTGTAGAGTTATTTATATTATTGGTCATTATTTATCTAGAATAAAAAATCATTGAGGATGTTTTTATTACAATATAAATAGATGTTCCATGTGCAATTTTTCTAGCACAAATTTTTGGTTCCCCAATATGCCCGTTAATGACTTGCAATATTCTTTTTCTTATTGGCGGTATTTAATTTACGTTGACGATGAATTTTACAAGTCAAAAGATGCGTAACTAATATTTACCAAGGTTAAGTTATGTAGAAAAAATGAATTAATTTTTAGTTATTATAATCTCAGTGCTATAGGAATTGGGTAATAAGATGTGAATTTTTCTCGAAAAGCGTATTATTTTTTTTAGTAGCAATTTATGATCGAAAGATGTAGCTCTTGTTTTGGCAAATTGCAGTTCGCGGGCGTGGTCACGTTCGTGGTGGGCGTGTGCCACGAGGCGGTGGCGGCCGCCGGCTCGAGGAGGGCGAGGAAGAGAGCGAGCCAGTCCCCGGACGAGGCGGAGACGGCGCGCCTGCTGGCCGCGCTGGCCGAGGAGCTGGCCGAGCTGTTCGCGGCGGCCGAGGAGCGGCTGCGGGCGTGGCCCGAGCCGGAGCCGGCGCTGGGCGCGCGCCTCTCCGCGCTGGGCCTGCGCGCCGAGTACCGCTGCCCCGTGGCCGACAAGCTGCGCCGCAGCCGCGAGGACGCGCTGCGCCACGCGCGCGACTCGCTCGCCGCCAAGCGCAGGTGGCTCGCCGCGCCCCGCTGACACCCGCCATCATCACCATCACCATCGCCATCGCCACTCCACCCCTCGTGTGTTCGCAAGTTCTGAGACTAACTAAGATACAGATGATATATTTTATATATTTTGGAATAGTGCTAGCGTCGACGTGTCAAATAAAAACGAAGATATCGCTCCGAATTCGTGCCTTTGTTTTTCGATACAACCTTCGAGGGAAGTGGACGCCGCTCACCTCATTGTATAACCCGATTGGACTCTCAAAAGAGAACATGGGCTTGACTATAATTTATTGTGACGTATTTAAATTAAGATACTCCGACTGCCTTTGCCAAATGTTGAGGAAACCCAACAAGTCATTACGTTATGTGCTAGATTAGATTTAATACTACATCGAATCCAGTTGTGAAATGCAATCTTAGTCTAATATAACTAATACTTAATCATTAAGTGCCTTAAATTGCATCTTTTTCACCGGTAGAAAAAAAGCGACGTCGAATCTTTGGATAAATTATTTTAAGCTACCATTACTTATATAATATCCGTAAATTGAGCATATTTAACAATGTCTAATATTTTTTAAATGTCTGTCGTTAATCATATACCTTTCTTTAAAAGGCCGCTTCCATTGCTTCAAGGCGTCTCTCGTGGTCTTTTTAGCGAAGCACTATTTAAAACTATGTAAACTGCTATTGAAAAAACTCAACTTCTTCACTTTTTATAGTTCAGTACAATATGGACTAGTTTGTTGCAAATTCTGTTAAAAAATTACAAATTTTATTACAAAAATAACAAATTTCACCAAACAACTGTAATTCAATACGTATATCTTAATTCACCTCAAGATTCTTGAACACACGAGGTACCGTAACAATAAAGACTCAATGTTGTTTGAGATTACACTTAGAATTCATGTTCCTATAAAGAAAACAACAATCAGGCGTTGTAGCTAAATAAACATGAAACAATCAGCTGGAACTGATGCAAATTCATGCAATTATAAACATACAGCTGACCTATTTTACTTTGAAGTTAAAAAGGACTTTACGTACTTCACACTACTTCATAGCGCGGCTCCGTTTCGCAGTAGCCGCCTGCCACTTCTGTGGTCTCTTCCGGAGTAACTCCAATATTTTATTTCAATTGAACATGGTGCTATTTCTATTGATTTGGTACAATTTAAAGTAGCTAAAAGAACTAATTGCATAAATATCGCGCTGGCGCGCTATACTATATTTCATATAATCAAAAGCTGTTAAGTTTTTTAAGCAGTTTCAACGAATCTCGTTAAGAACAGCTTTATCAAAATGAAGAATGTTAACAAATCGAAACATTATTGAAGAGAGCTTTCTTTTGACAAAAGCTAGAGTCATTCAATTTATGAAAACTTATAATGTATTAGTTAGTGTCATTTAAAAAGTAGTGTTATACAAATATTTTTGTAATATGTATAGCAGCTAATACCATATGTTACTAACAGAACTTGAGTAGTTTTATTTCAATTAAAATCTTAATAATGATTTTCCTACAAAAGTAGTGAGGAACCCAGCAAAGTTAAGAAATATTGTAGAAAAAAAATTAAATATATCTGACACCTGCCACCTTACGGACTTTCACTTCCTCTTAATTTCTGTTCGAAGGAGGCGGTTGCTCCAGCAGTGGGGCATAAGAATAATAAATGTTTATTATTGTACAGGCAAAGCCGTGCATTTTGTATTGTTTCATAAAAGTGCACACGCTGCACTCATTATTATTTATTTAGAAAAAATATGTTGATATCCTTTCCAGCATACAAACAATTTCGCTCGAATTATCGTTTTACAACGATAATTCGAACGAGAGACATAGATATAACAATAGATGCGCCAAGCATTGCTTCAAATGCTAAATAACAATGTAGAAAGAAGGCGTTGAGATTTTCGTCGCTGTGGCTATCAGCCGTTTAGCTCGGTGGCTAGAGTGTCAGGCCGCGAAGGCCGAAGACGTGGGTTCAGGGTTCGTCGAAGAGGCAGGAACAGTCGAATCGGTAACGTGTGAACCACATAAGTGCCACTAATGATGATGAAATTTTATTGAAAACTGTGTTAATAAAATATTTAAAACGTATCGCAATACATGGACATTAACGTGAAGTGGTGCACGACTACACGCAGTATCCACCACAATTATCTTGGGTGTTACTTGGCACGCATAGTAAAAAAAACTATACACTGAGGACACAACTCTATAACAGATAACTTTAATAGTAACCTCCATGCCGTAATGTGGCCGTGTTAATCCAAACCTTTGAGAAGAGAGGAATTTTCTAACGTGGTCAGTAATTTGCAAGAACTTTAAAATTTCAGCTCACAGTTGGTCCTACAGCTTTAATATTAAAATTTCTCTTGACTCAAATCACTTCAAGACAAGTAAAGCATTAATCGAAAAGTCTTCGCGCTGCCGTAATCCACTCGTATGTAATATGTAAACAAAATAAAAGTCAATATTAACTTCATATACTTTATTTACAACACGAATATTGCAATAATTTTCGTCCCCAACATAAGAGTGTTATAAAGACAGGGGTAAATTTAACAGTCGTTTAATTCCTAAAGGACTGTTATAGTTCCGAAAGTGATATAATCGTTTTTTTAAGTATTTTGTAAGTTATTGCAAATCATCCCTAATGTTGTGCAGCGAAAAAATGCGTTGAAAACAATAAAAGCACCCTCGGGCTGAGCGGGGAAGACGGCTAAAAAATATACTTAAGAAATAACAACGAAGAAATGCACGTAAATAACATGAAATAAACATCGAAAACATAAAAAATCTCACACAATATTCAAACAATTAAATATGTCCTTAAAGTTAACAGCTCGGAACTTAGAAATCTAAACTCTCATACTATATTGCTAATGTGTGCGTCGACAAGGCTGAAACATAAGTTTCATAAAACGTAAGTCGAAATTGTATGAATCCAAGCCCCGAGCACGCACCGAGTGTATAAATAATAAAAATAATTATTACACAAAATACATTATGCACCGATAGACCGTGAGACTTTACAATTAAATCATAGCCTACTCGCGACAACGCAACCGATATTGTAACCGCAAACAGTTATCTAATATCTGTCTAAGCTTGACCTAATATCTATACATGTGTTATACTTGAATGTAAAAACTTCAGTTCTGAGTTAAGGAGCTGTGCCGGTGTCGGTTTCCGTCCGGCCCATTCCATGGTTGAACGCCTGCAGAGCTCCCGAAAACATGCAGGCTCCAAGGAAATCGGGTGTCGGAAGCGACTAATAAACTTCCGATGGAAACGATTTTGAGGTGCGCTAAAAAGCAACCTGCACAGCCCTAATATTCTCATAAGGAATGTAGACGTGTGATGAAATGCATTAGATACGGAATAATAACCTCGCCTGCCTTTCTGTTTGTACTTGCACTGATAAATACAAAACTTGCCGTCACACCGAGCTTATTGGAAGCTGCTATTGCGTCCCGTCGTCTTTTAATACAAAAAGCTGCGGATCGTCGTCCACGCCGAATGATATAACACGACGTTTATTAAAGGTAACATATACGCTCCGAACACTCGCAGCAAGCTTGGACCCACAGAGTTGTGCACACGTTGCGAGCACTCCTATATACGCATGAATAACCGAATGGAAAACGAACATAAACATAATTGACCTTAAAGTACAAAGTCCAAGTCACACCCGTCGAGGCGCCACGGCCGTGCGTAAGTGTCCCGTTTACACCGTACTTTACAATACTTACAATAGATATGCAAGTACAATCACTGTCTCGTCACAATCGTCCTCAGTTGGTCCGTAGGGCCGGCGGTCGCTCACAGCGTGTGGAAGAGGTGGCGCTCCGAGCCCTCGCCGGATCAGCTGCCGCTGCAAGGGGAGGCGGCGTTAGGCTGGGCTGGGCTGGGCCGGGCCGGGCCGGGCTAGAAGGGCGGGCGCGGACGTACCTGTGGTCGTGCAGGGCGCGGCGCCTGGCGGTCTGGCGCTGGTGCTCGAACTCGAAGTCGTCCTCGGTGAGCGGCAGCCGCTGCATGTGCGGCAGCAGGTAGTCCTCGGCCAGCACGGCGGCGGGCGGGTGGCGCAGCAGCTCGAGCGTCTCGCAGAGGCCGGCCGCGCCGCGCCGCGCGCGCCCCGGGCCCAGCGCGCCCGCCAGGATCACCAGCGCCGCCTTGAAGAGCACCTTGACGCCCTCGCAGAGGAAGCAGTCCCAGACGCGCAGCAGGCTGTCCCAGGGCAGCGTGCGCGTGAGCGCGCACAGGAACCACTCGGTGGCGTAGAGCACGGGCTCCACCTTGTGGCGCGCCAGGTGGCGGTGCACGTGCGGCGCGGTGCGGCGCAGCAGCGCGTGCAGCATGGCGCCGTCGCGCTGCAGCACCTCCAGCCCCGGGTTGTAGTAGCCGCTCAGGTACTTGTCGCTGATGCTCACCAGGCACCAGAACGCCTGCACGGCCGGCATGTGCATCAGCAGGAACGCCGCCACCGGCGCCTGCGCCTGGAAGTACCCCACCTTCGGGTTCAGCACCGAGTACGCCTTTAGCACCGAGAACAGCTCCTGCTGCCTGAAACACAATCCGAACGGTTCCCTTGTTTCCCTTGCTTCGTTATCGCGATAAATTTAAGTCGTTAGACTGCTGTAAGAAACGAATCATATTTTCATAATCATAAAGACAAATTTTAGCAACAACGCATATAACATTATATTTCATAAACAAAACAACATTTTATTATGAACAAAATAGAACAAAATCAATTCGTAAAATTATTTATTAAAGAAGAACAGTGACTGAAAATAAGAATATTTTTGAGTATTTTATTATATTTTAAAAAACATGAATGACGCCATGAACATGAACATTTAACCCCATATTTTCATAGCGGTGGCGGCGACAAGGATTGTTATAGATTCATAAATACATTTACATATATCCATCGACGACAAAAGACTGGTGTGCTAATTTGTTTTATAAATACAATTAGAATGGTCGCGCTTGGAAAGGAGGTTGGAGAAGACGACAGAAAACCAGAATGAACAATAGCATTAGACTAAAACAAGTTTTGGCCGGTGAAATCGCGTACCAAATGTAGCCCGAATCATAACTGTAACACGTCGCTATTCCAAACGGTGGCGATTCCGCTGTCTGTTTCATTTCTATTAGCATGCTAACTTATCTTTCTTATAAAAATTCGTTTAAAGAAATCGATGGTTTGGTGAAAACATTTTTTTTTTGTAAATAATTGATATCTGACACCACGATCAACGACATTCCGTAGACTATTTAAAGCTTCATCGGGTCTATCAAACTCGTGGAAAGACTAAGTTTCCGCGAGCCCATATACCAATGCGTGCATCACCATAACTAGCGATTGTCCGCTCAGGGGCCGCCACCTCCCGGGGCCTCCCCTATTCCGCGATTATATGGGCCGAATCGTCTTTTTCTCAATTAGTTATTTATTAGTTTTTGGTGGACATTGAGTCAAGGGTGGTTCCGTCTAAAGTTGCTACAGTGTTCTCCGGCTTTACGTCTATTCTCCATTTGCGAAACTAATCGCGCTTTGGAGGCGACTGTTCACTCAGTCTGGGTAATGGCACCTTAGGAATGTAACTATAACAAACTATTCGTAATTTTGAGAAGTGCAAAAGAAAATTATGATAATAATGAGCAGGGAAAAATTGCATACAAGTGTAGAAAACCCTGTTTTCGGCTCCTTTCAGTCAGTATGCAGTGAGGTTTTAAACGAATAAACGAATTGCTCTTTTTCTTTAAAACATGCATCACATAACGCTCTTCAGACATTACTTGACAATAATAGACGATGTGCTTATTTCTTTTTCTTTACTTTAGCTTTTAATACGTATTTATATATATTTTTATATACCTACATTTTATAGTTCATTTATTGTTGCGTTGGTAACGACACGTTGTATATTTTTTCGTGAATAATTTTAATTATTGGAGAAATGGGTTGTAGATTCAACAGTTCTAAACTATCCCAGGCTACGAAATACGAGGCTTCAGATGACTACTTGTTTCGTACCTTTTTTGCAATGAATTTAAACCTATAAATTGAGTTCACGTTGTGATATAAGCTGAGCAAGGGCCAGTTCAGTATTTGGTGATTGATACTCCCGTAGATAAGAGTTCTAACGATTTTACCTTGATCCTAATATTTTAACTATTACTGAACTTTAATATTATCAACTATTAAGCTACAAGCAGCACTAGTGGTTATATAACCGTCTGGGAACGCGGCCGAAATCCAAGTGACCGCTGCTCCATGCGACCATGTGTCCCTTGGCTCGAGTAAATAACGTCATATCCGGTATACTGTGTTGCCAGCGCCAGCATATACATCTATAAATACCGTTCGGCCATCAATCAGAGCGCATCAAAGTCCTCGAAATGATTGGCCTAACGCAATGTGAGTTCCCGCGTGAGAGCGCACCGTCACTTTCACGTCACTTTCGCACGTCAACGACCAACGCGACGTGCCCCCACGGCCCACGGGGCCTCGATGACGGCGGTGTCACGTGCGGCGCGATTCCGACTGGAGGCAGGAAATGACGGAGGCCGCGCCGCCCCAATAACGAACAACGCACATCGGCCCCTTTTAATTGCACGATGTTACACTTCTTAAACTTCGATCCACAACAACCACATAATGGGTCGCAATGCAAAATCCAAGCTAAATTCTGTCAGCGTCAACATATACTTAAACAGCTACATTTGTTTATTACATTACTATCAGACAAAAGTGTTAAAACCGCTTTATATTCAACTAAACACATAGTAATAAAATCACAAATCCTCAAAATATTACATTACACTTACGGCCATTACTCACATAAAACGAGTACCTAAAGCCTAAAAATAAAATAAATTTTCACTTAGAAATGGAAAGAAACTTTAAACATTAATTGTGAATTCAACCTTAACCTGAAGTAAATAAAGTACTTTTCCGCGTTATTGTCCCGTAAGTTTTATTTTATTTTATTGAGCAAGAAAATCCACAGCCTTTAGTTGTTTACATGTATATCAGATATTCTTAACTTACAGCCAAGAAAGGATTTACATTTTATAGGTAGAATATATATATACAATAGTAATAGTAAGTATACAATAGTAGTAGTAGTAGTAAGTTGAATCGTTGTTTTGCAGCTCACTATTGACTTCTTCCAACTTTACTACAGGAGACGTTGAACTTTACCTGGAGGACCTTTACTGTTTTTTTTTTTAGTAAATCATGTATTTTGGAAATTACATTTAAATACAAATTACTGAGAAATGAAATATGCATTACCGACCGAACTATTTATAACATTTTTTTTGCGGCGAAATTTACCGTCATATTCGAATGATAATTTTCATTCCCTGAAGACAGGGATAAAAGGACATTTTCTAAAAATGAAAACTAGCTAGATCGATTTTAGATATCGATTTAGATATATATATATATCTAGTATATATATATATATATATATATATATATATACAAGAATTGCTCTAGTTTACAACAAAATTAACAAGTTTAGTTGTTTCTGTATGTTTTCCAAAGCAATTAAATAAAAACTAAAGTTATTGTCAGCTCTAAATATTTCTCTTTGTCGCTACAAATTTTCGATTAATTTGACAGCGGACAAATCGTAGTAATTTGCCGTATTACTTATTATTGTATTTTCGTTGTTTTATGTAAAATATGTTAATTTATTTTATTCCAGTTTTTGTACGTACATACATGAAATATAAAAATTTTACGTCGGTAGAAATGAAATTGCACACGTTTGTTTACAAATGTAATTTAGCTTTACCCGATATATTCTAGTTGATATTGTTTATCGAAGCTTATAACACGCAATTGCCACAGTTTTGCTATATTTTTTTAAGGTCGAACAGGACAATGGTCACGAGTGCGAATTTCCTTTACCACACTGTAGTGTAGATAAACATTTAAAGACTACTCTTAACTTTTGGAGCGAACGTGTTTCATGCAAGGTATGCAAGTAAACGATTTGTAGAACGGATTCTTTCTCTTACCATAGACGACATTACATACTGTTAGCTATACTTTGCTTTATCGAGCTAAGAGGGTAGAAATATAAATACTTTTACCAAATCACCGTAGTTTCACTTTGCACAACAATAACACTGGTATAATTACTTATTTTATCACTTTAATATCACTAATGAAACACCACTCTAACGATTTAATTTATGACACCGATATCGTGTATCTGGTTTGACAGCCAAAGAAGACGACGACTACGACGAAGACCACTATGAAGACCATCAAATGCTTCTTGCAGCTTCATTTATACCTCACAGAATGACACTTCTTTTAGTGTTGCCAACAATACGTACATCGATACAAAGCGCTAATTGTTTTCAATTCAATTTTTTCAATTAAAAAATTATGTCTGATGCAAGGATACATACAGAAAAATCTAGATTTCGAGGCAATCGGCCACTGTTATGAGCATATGGCGTGACTGACAGCGTTTCGTTATAACCGTGAGCCTTTTAGTGTTGCCGGTTAATGCGATTGTAACATAAAAGTCTGTGAGCAAAAATTTTGCAGTTATGTTTAACTTTTTGTGATTTCTTTGGGTGCCTAAACTTAACTTAATAAAAACTGAACAAAGAAAAAATTACAAATAATGGGCAATGCTCTAGTATTAATATTAACTTAGATGCACGCTTCTAAATACTCTAATCCGACGTAAATGAAATTAGTTTACGAACGGAAAGAATCTAATTACATTATAGAATTAAGCAACAATTTTTTTTATATTCAGTCTTTAGTATAAAAGAGCATTCATTGGCGGAATATCGTACGTTCCTAAGCGTGGTGGCTCATTGTCAGAGATTCCACCGAGCACCCTTCCCCTAGTACTGAAATGTTACCGGAAGTTATTTCCTACTTGGCGACTCATTCAGGCGGCAGCCGTATCGTATTCCGATAGACGACTGTCCACTGCCCCCGTGAGAGACCCCGCGATGAGCACTCACGGGCGGCAAAGGCCTCGGACAATTAGCGAGCCCTGACTCACAGACGAGCCAAGGCGTTAGGCGGCGATGACCGAACGCGATCATGGCGGCAGCGTTACATTTAGTGCAGCAATGACTATTGTTGATGTTATTTGCAGTTTTATTTTATTAGTAAGTTCAAAACTAATCGATTTCGTCGAAATTCTTGCAAAGTCAGAGCTTGATGAAATCAACGCATCAGTTGAGCGTATTTTATGTGTTCGCTCACAAAGAACTATTTCTAGTGCGTCCTATGAGTAAAAATTATACACCTATTGGACGTGATTCATTACAAACTATTTAAAGCAGCTTTTCGCCGAAAGATTTTATTTGTATGGTCTACCAACTCTATGCACAGAATCACTTCCTTCGGTGACCTCGGTATCGTGTGATGAAATAAGAAACTTTAGGCGATCATGTAACGTTACGATATGGATTATGATACATACAGAAGGGGCGGTCCGTTATCGCGGTGGGCGTCGGCCTATCCGATTCGTTTGTGTTTTGATCGCGTGCGAGCGTACGAGCGTGAGAGCAGCCACTCCCGACTCACCCGAGGCCCTCCTCGCGTATGAACATCTCGTGGTAGGGGAACTGCCTGTGCAGGTCCTTGCGTATGTCGTCCATGCACTTGGGGTCGCCGGGGGCGCGCAGCAGCTCCTCGTACTCGTGGGGGTGCTTCTCCAGCAGCAGCTGCCCCCCGCACAGGTACAGCCACGCCTTGGGCCGCACCGAAGCGGGGATGCCTGCCCCCAAACACCGCGTTAATACCCTATCCTCTCTTTCGATAGCTCAGTGCATATTTGTTGTGCATTTGCAATCAATATTTCAGAAGGTCTTGCATTACCCACACAATACGTTTAATAGTACATTACTTAAGCTACATGTTGCCTAATAACAGATAGGAAGCAATCGGCAGAGTGTGGTTTCAGACGCGTATTGATTTGAGCGCGCATTAGATAAGAGGCAATGAGGAGCAATCAGGCGCACCTTTCCTGCAGCGCTCGCGCACCGTCTTGTAGTTCCTACTCATGAAGGCCTCCCAATTGTTAAGCATGCGCAGCCACTTCTGCTCGCGCTTCAGGATCGTGCTTGGCGAAACGGTCCGCTTCCTGAAACACACGTCCTTCTAAATTATTTGCCAAAGGGCTGTGACGCTCACGGAAGCTTTCAAGGTGTCGATTTGGATGCATATATGCCACTAAAATTTGTAGAAAAAGTACGAAAACATTGTCACCGCTGTGGGAATCGAACCCACGTCTTCGGCCTTCGCGGCCTGACGCTTTAGCCACTAAGCTAAATGGCTTATTGCCACACCGACGAAAATCTTGACGTCTTTTATCTATGTATAATGTTTTTTAGCATTTGAAGCAATGCTTGGCGCATCCATTGTTATATCCTTTCCAGAATACAAACAACTTCGAATATCGTTTTATAACGATAATTAGAACGAGAGATGTCGCCATTGCTTTTTAGAAATTTTTGGTTTATAGTGCTAATCTCTGCACTAAGATTAGACATTCAAATTTGTAACAAAAAGTACGAAATAAAAGAAAAAAAATTAAATGCATATATGGCACATTTAAACATGCATTTGCAATTATCAAGGCTAAACTATAAATTGATATTGAAGATTAAACTAAAGATATATCCCGGCCACCAAATGATTTTATGAAAGAATGTTTGCTTCCCTGAGCGCCCGTGTAACTCTATCAAAAGATTTACAACAGTGATGCAACACAAGTGATATAATGGAAGTAGATACAGAAATAACAACTGTTAGACCAGATCTAAATAACTTGAAATCTTGCTTTACATTTAACGTCAGGGAACTGCCATAATTTGTATGGACAAATTAAATCGAATTCAAATTTCAAATTTTCTTTTTGATTTTGAGCAATTCCCTGTTGAACGTATCACCTGAATCAAAGGGCAAGGCAAGGTCCAAAAACCAGTTGAAGTTAATATGGGACCACTATATGCTAAATCGAACCCCATGCAAAAATAGTTTTTAAAATGGGTTCTTAAATGACGGTGTTCAGAGGTAACAAACGAAAACAAAATACAACCTCCTGCTTCTTTGCACTCCGTTGAAAAGTAATATTATAATAAAAAAATAAATAATTGCAGCTCAGGAACTAAATAAAGTAAAATATCATTGAAAATAATTTATAGCTTTTACTGTACAACGCACGGGAAACACTCCCGGAAAGTAAGAGGGACAGGTTTATAGAAATTCAATAGTAGAAACCCCGACGCTTTCTTTGCAATGTCTTGTCGCGAGATGGAAGCCTAGAGTTAACGTGTTTTTCCACAAATATACTCACAAAGTTTTTATCATAAAACAACAAACACGAAGTTAACACATGAAATAAAGTCAATAGATTCGGATTTTCTAACATCAACACTGTATAACAGTTTTATCTTCAGTGGGAGTCTCTCTGTCTATGTTTTGAAGTTCCACCAGGTGACTTCCGCTAACCTTAAACCTTACCTAACTTTTTATTGAAGCAATTTATTAATAAAGATTGGAACGCCGATATTACCGATTTACCCAGAATGAGTTCATGATAACACCTTACCCAAAATGTTTCGTTAGAAAACTGTGATTTAGGGCTAAAGTATCAATACCCATCCCCCGAAAGTATGACCTTATTGTTTGGACCAAACATTTCCCAAAATGTACATTAGTAGATGTAGTAGATGTTTGATAACCGATTCATATTTTAAGGACTAAGTTCCTGAAAAGGTTATTTGCGACTAGATCATTCATTTCCTGCGATTTCTTCCTGTTCTGTTTTGATCAAACAACAATTATTTTCTTCGAATTGGTCAAGCCGATTGATTGGAATCAATCTAGATAAGACTTTCCAGCTATATTTATACAGCGATCCTGAAAAATTATGAATTAAGTCAAAAGTAGCACGAATTGATTTTGCCAAATAACAAACATGCTCTTGGCAAAAAGTGTATTGCGATGATTGCAATTGATTACGCGATTTGTAAAAATATTGTAATGAACATAATAGACTGGCTAAATTTGATGCATGACGACAAAATCTCACTGTATTAGAGAAGCAACGAAATCAAGTGAGTGCCTATAATCTACCACTCGGCGGTAGCTTTAAATAGTTACGAGTGTCTGGATAGGCCACGTGAGTGTATGTAAAATGCCTTTACTACCTATGATATCTTGCTTTATATAGGGCAGTTGTGTAAAATAAAAAAAAAAAATAATTATTAAATTTAATAATTTCATATGAGAAGTCGACAAACAAACACGGTTCAGCTATGATTACCACTGCTCGTGGGTCTAAAATACCTGAGGGGTCTGTAGATGGAGGTGAAGTGAGTCCCTTTTCAGTCATAATCTTTATGCCCTATCGTATCGTAGCTTAGTTAGGATAACTCACGAGGAGGCCACGGAAGGCCACGGAGGGCCACGCAGCAGCCTCGGCTGTTGCACGAATGGGCAGGCTCGTTGGGTAAGTACCACGACCTCACAGAAGACCGGCGTAAAGTGGAAGTATAATACTTTCGCGTTTCGTCTGGTGAGTGGGGTGGCCGGAGCCCAATTTTCAAAAGGTTGTCAACGCACCTGGAACCCGCGGGTGTAGCAGATGTACATGGGCGGCGGTATTCAAATAAAAAAAAAGGTCGCCAAGCGCGATATGCACAGAATGGCCACGATATCGCCAGATTGGTCAATTGGATTGGCCCGTGGGGTCACGGCGCCGGCGGCAGGGGCTACTCATCTCCGAGCGACGCGGTCGATTCACCTTGCGCTCGCGTTAGTTAACTTCAATTCGCGCCGTGCACCATGGATACACCACTCGAGCACATACGTGCGGCGCTTGCGTGGCGCAATGTTTGCCCAAAGATAACAATTTACGATAAGTAAAGACTCGATATTTGATCAGAGAGAGCAGCACAGTTGTGCGCAAGTTTTTATTGTGCAAGTATTTAAGTGGAAAATTAAAGTAATATCTCGCAAAATGCTTTATTTAGAAACGAAGCTTAAAAATATACTACCTATATCATAATTAGATTCGTTTTCATTTACCAAACATTAAGTTGTTCATCTCTTAAACATGTTCTAGAACAATAAAGACATACATATAGAAGAAAAATGTAATAAGGGCCCTAGAGAACCCTGTCTAAGCATCTCTTTGAATTGTCATCTTTGAATTCACTTTAAGATGAGACTACGTAGGTATTGCACATGGTAGCGTTGTTTCGACGATTAATTTAACTAAGCACTAACCTATATTCTAATGCAGTTAAGTGAACAAACAACCCCAACAAGAGCTTAGTTAGAGGTCAGTAAAATGTGTGTCGGTGAGTCACGACTAGCTATCAGAAAACGCCGAAAACAGAACACTGTCAGGTGATTGATAATGTTTCTAGAAAACATTCATTAGGAAAGGTTGCGACTTCAATACAAAGCAATTAATACAAGTATGCACCTGGCGGAAGTTCTCACCTCAGCACGATTGTACATTTATTAAATCAATTGAAATGAACAGAAAATAAAAAAATACATGAAGAGCTTTAACAAAATTTGTAGAAGCAGCAGCCAATTAGGCCATCAGCCTGTTACATGCGAAATCGTCAGACGCTGTTTGTAAACGCAACCGCGCCGCGTGGGACACTTGGTGCAAGCAAAAAATTCCGCTCAACTTTCCAACGGCACAACGAGTCGAAGCTGGGCGCCAAACAAAGCGAGTTGCGAATAACGACAATGCACGGTCGTTCGCATTCGCAGCCTTTTTGCAAGGCGACACGTAATTATATTGCAGCGCAGGTTGTTATTTTATGACAGCCAACAGACATTGCACTGAACACTGAGAAATTATTAGTTTCACCTGATAGAACACAACTCTTTAATTGCAGACATTTTAAGGCTCCACAACAGTTGGGCAATCCACTACTTTACAAATACTACCAATCTCACATAACACAACCTCAAGCATACCAGTGTAGAGCCACTTGTCTAATTAATGAAAAGACAATTCCAAGATAAATATTGCTTATAATAGAGCAACTAATATTAAAATCCTTTAAATGCCACAATAAACCTAGATACAAGTTAATTTCCTGATTTGTAACTACAGCAGTAACCAACGGAAAGTAAATTTCACAAGACTAAGTTCATCAATTGTCTCTAAACAACATACTTTGAATATCAATGCTACACATAAACATACTAAAAAAAATATTCAAAAAACTAAATTGTATATGTCACACAGTAATATACAAGGTGGAAATATGATTCAATACTCATTGACTTTAGTAATGTACGTTTCAACAATGTGTCCATGCAAATTTTCAATGTGAACTATAAGTCATATTGTTGACTTGGTGGTGGAACTGCTAAACTACTCCCTTCAGCGCCAGGAGTTTAAACCTCACACAGGAAAAGTTTTGTGTGACCCACAGATAATTTTTCCAAATCGGGGTGTTTGTCCCCAAGGAGGGCCACCAAAAAAAACACCCCTTGGTTCAATAAGGGCATAAATCAGAACAAGAAATGTACAACTTTTTGTCCAAATTCAGGAATTATGACAGGAACATGAATAAGGTCCATAGGTGTATATAAATATCGAACAGTAACTACAGCACTAAGGTAATAATATATTAAGGTAATAACACATATTAGCTTTAAGCAGGGCCAGATTTAGAGATCTGGAGGCCTCGGGGCAACAAAGGAGTGGAGGCCAAAGGGTAGGGCCAAGGCCATTTCTATTGATTTCTGTTAATATTTAATGTAATCATGTTTGTACAAAGGGATTTGCTTTAGTTAGTAAAACACGAAAAAATATGAAAGGAAAAGTTGTTTACTATTGTTTACTAGTCCCAATTTGAATTTTTTTTCCGATGTCTCTATTGTGGGGGCCCCGGGACTGTTGCCCCGGTTGCGCTCCCCTAAATCCGGCCCTGGCTTTACGGCACAAGTGAATATAAACATTATCGTACGGTTCCGGGCTATATTGAGCTCCTCCAAAAAAGCCATGTCTATCCGGCTGTGTTGTTACTGACGAGCATATTGAAGTGTTGTCTGCCTGATCACCACGGTCTCCCGCACTTTTCACACTTTTCTGAAGCGACATTGTCTTAAAATCTAGCACTATCTTTTTCCAAACATCACGTACAATATCTTTTAAACGAAAAATCTCTGTGGGCGTACAAATTAATTACAAGACATATAACAGTTCCGGATGTTCACGCCCGTCCACGAATCACAACAACTCATCGAAATTACGCGAGGAAACCAAAATTATAGATACAAGATTAATAACACATATTATCTAACAAAGGTAGAAACAGTGAAAGTAAGTTGTTTGAAGGAATCTTACTTCAAACGTATATATTATTCACGACACATTTCGCCAAAACACAAACCATAAATTGTTGAATGGAATACAATATGAGCATGAGCAATGAGCATCCGTCACGTAACAGACTCAGCAAAACGCACAGACCATCAAGCACTACAAGGATCATAAAACATATTTCAAGAACTTATTTTATATTTTTGACTATTGTATGCCTTCATTGGTCAGTATCAAATAAAAACTGTAAGGTCACAAAAATTGAAGGTAAATGTAAATAACTTTAACTCCGGCGTAATTCAAATCAAATAAATTTAAACATTCAGTTATGTCAACAAGCAGAATTCAAAAAAAAAAAAATGAAATAGTTATGATTTTTACTGAAATCCGCCATTTTTTTGTTGTCAATATGTCATTTCAGCTCGTATTTCAAAAAAAAAACCTAACATCGAACCTTCTAACCTAATCTATCCGAGTCGAATTCATTAAATTAAAAAATCGGAATATCGATACGTGTATAATAAAACTGTGTATTGAAAGTCAAACAAATAAAATGGTGGATTTCTTAGTACAAAAAACAAGTTTTAATATTTTTTTTCTCGAAAACTATAAGCGACCGCCGAATTCTGCTTGTTGATTAATTCATTAGAGATTTATCTCTATCGTTTAAAATTTATTTGATTTGAATTACGCCGGAGTTAAAGTTATTTACCTTTATCAAATTGAATAACCTAAACAGTAGAATAATTTAAATAAATATAAAAAAAAAACAAATTTTAATGGTGTGCAACTCCTAGAAAAAAGTAATTATTTACCTTATATGAAATTAAGAGCAATTTATACGTTATATTATTCTATTAAATATAATGTTATTTATATTTAATGGAATCATATAACCTCGATCGAAATTAAATATATGGCAATTAAACATGATCGCATTCTTATCCGGATTCACCTCGATTCGTAAATAATAAATATCGATATATTTTTTTTATTTGCTCATCGTAGCGATGGACTAGCATTACGCAAGAGGTAAGCGGAAAACCCGAAACTGACAGTGACACTGAGAATTGACATTTGACACTGACAGAAGGATATAACGCTTAGAAATAGGTTATAATTTTGAAGCCACTAATTAAAGAAAGAAGAAGAAGGTTATAATTTTCTCTAATCTCCTTCTCCTGTGAACATTTAAAATTAACAAACACTTTAAGAAGTATTTGTTTATTGTAAATAAATCAATAAATCCATAAATATGTTTGCTTCGAAAAAATCAAATATTTTTTCGCAGTTCAGTAGAGTTTATTCATCAACTTCATCGGAGTTTGTGAATAGAAATCCAAGAAATCTAGAACGTCTTCGTATAGCCCATAAACCCGATGGTTATCATCTGGATAATCCCGGACGTAAATATTGGCACAAGTACGAATACTCAATACTTTTCGTAAATTCTTATTACTATAAACCAAAAAATTAATTCTTTGATATCAGCTTCCCTGAATATAATGTTCACCATCGTATTTTTTTTATGAGAAAAGGTGGCAACCGAGCTGGCTGTTGACCTGATGTTTAGAGATAACCATCACCATCGACAGAATTTGCAACACCTGTAGGGTTCACCTCACTCTAATACTTCCACTTCACGCCGGTCTTGAGTAGCAATCTTTAATCTTGCTTTCATACATTATTTTAGTTTTCTTTCCATATCTGTAGTTTTATGTAAGGTTATGTGTAAATGTACTAATGTTTATTACCCAGAAGATGTCAAATCAAGGCAGCACCAAAATTCTTTCACAATTTGTCTATTAAACTCACATTTTAATTTCATTTTTAGTGCAGACTAGCTAACTAAAATAAAAATTAATCATATATAGACCGGTAAATAAAATTAAGTTATGAACAGAGAATAATAAGTTCACCTCTTTTTTTTATGTGAAAAGTTGTCAAACGGGCATGCTGTTAGTCTGATCTGATGAACATTTACAAAACCTTGGCTTGCAGATGCATTGACAACCATGAAAAAAGTGGGCATATGACCTAATTTTTTATTTTTTCATTATTTAATTTTTAACACTTTTCCAGGCTTACTCTTACAAGGAGCAACAGGACAGTAACAGCACAAGTTGTTCATTATGTTAATGGTCCTGTTATTGAAGCAAAAACTTCAGAATGGGCTTTAAGGAAACAACTATATAGCATGACAGATACAAATGCATATTTTAATCTGGGCCGAGTTATTGCTCAAAGATGTCTCGAATCTGGCATCACTGAAATGTATTGCAATATAAAAGGAACAAAAGGCGGAAAAGTGGAAAAGTTCTTGAATGAAGTAGAAAATGCCGGCATAAAGTTGGAAGAACCAGATGTATACAAAAAGCCAAATCCCTGGGACAGGTTTAGACCTGAAAAACCATGGGAAGTTACAGAGCAATAAAACCTAAATTCATAGTGTTTGTAGAATGTCAATTAACCTATATATGTATATATAAGCATACCATTGTTTCATTTACAAATTTACAATACCACTATATTATTAATAATAAAAAAGAACTAATAATTTTTTTTTAATGTGAAAAGTTCCCAAGCTAACGTGGGGCGGTTCACCTGATGTTAAGTAATTATCGCTGCCCATGAACATCTGCTACACCTGAGGGTTGCATATGTATTGACAATCTTGTGAAATTTGGGCTCCGGCTCACTCAGCAGTCAAAACGCGAAAGTATTATAATTCCACTTCACACTGGTCTTCTGTGAGGTTGTGGTATTTACCCAGACGAGTCTGCCCATTCATGCAACAGCCGAGGCTGCTGCGTGGCCATAACAATTTTAACGCTAAATCTTCCGGTTCGTGGTCGCCACTCGAGAACTTTTACTCCATGATTAAGGTCATCAGTTCTTTGAGGAATGTGGCCTGCCCACTGCCACTTTAACTTGCAAATGCGGAGAGCTATTTCCCGAGTCATGAACATCAAAGATATTTCTTACCTAATGATGGGGTAAAACTCAGCAGTACAGGCATCTGCAAATAGTTGCAATAGTTGAAGCACTACAACGTTTAGAAAAACTTTAAACCAAGAACACATTATAATACTGCAATGCATTTACAGTTTTCGGGTTAAAATTCATCCAAACACACAGTATGCTTTGAAGTGTTATTTTACTTCAATTAAACATAGTGAAGAGTGAACATTTAAATCATTTATAATAGGTTGGCCTTTTAAATTCTTTTCGGTACGAATTTCCGTTAACGTCCGTCAAATCGAGGGGTGGGAGGGGTGCGGGGGAAGGAAAGAAAAAGTTGCGAAGCCCCCCTCTTTTCGCGAATTTTTAATTTATGAAGCAATACTTCTTTAGATGCGTTATGAAAAAATTATGAGAATGAAATTTTAAGATAGGCGCGCATAACTGTAACACGTTTGAAGCTGCCCGCTAGAAGTGGGCGATACAAATCGTATCAGATATGAAATCTAGATATTAGTACAATATCCGAATATCGCTTACTGGCTCGTTCAATATCTATGTATTTTACAATATCTGATATTTCCGAAATCTGATATACCGAATACTCGCTCGCTCACTAAACCGACACGAATCGCGATATCATACGGTTTGCCACAATATCTGATTTTTAAACAGATTTCCAGGTACAAAGCGCGTGAGATACAAATACTCACTAGTTAGAGCGGGACGGCAAGCAATGCACGATATCAGATTTTTAAACAGATTTTGAGATACAAATATTAGACTAGTTAGAGCAGTACGGCAAGCAAGGCACAATATCAGATTTTTAAACAGATATTATGAATAAGTTAAGTAATTTTGAATCTTAAAATGATGCAGATAAGATCCGTTTTAATTAAATACTACAACGATATTATTATATTTTTATTGTTTTGTTTAGCCTTGAGCCGTAACGGGCGACAAAGCGCGCAGTTAAGTAATTTTGAATCTTGTTGCATTTAAATACGAATTACGATATTAACAATGTATTTAAATTTTGTTTAGCCTTGAGCTGGATTGCATTGGTACCTAGCACGTAATAGTTAGGGATGCCAACTTACTACTTAAGAATTTTCTGCCAAAATTAAGGAAGAAAAATTTTTTGTGAATATTTTTATTAGTTAAATTTTATTCATATTTTTGGAAAAAAATAAAAGTAGACAAAAAGAAAAATATAATTTAATAGTGCTGTGCTGCTTGGGTGGAAATCAGACCAAGGCTTATGTGCTTTGTGTGTATATTTTAAATTCTTCTGCCCTAAGTTATAATGCTGAATGTATTATTTCTTACACAAATTATAAAAATATTGTCACTCATGATTGCGTGTTAAGAATATGTTAAAGTCAATTATTAAGCGATATATAAGATGTTAAAATCAATCATTTTTATATTACTTCAATTTCTATTTTTAATGAAATTTTTAATGTAATCAGGTAATCTTTTAATTTTACCTTAATAGTATAAAAAAATCGTGATTTAAAATTTAGTCAATTTTAGTGGGTTTTCGAATTTATTTAGAAGTATTCTTTTGGAACAGTTGGTATCACTGGTATTAAGTTTTAAATATCACGAACATTATGTATATGGAATGAATCAACTTTTAAATACGCCTGCACAATTTATATTCCGAATGAGTATAAAATATCGTTGAAAACATTTTTATCTTTTTTTTTTTTTTTTTTTTTAGAATTCAAGGTGGATACGTGACCTTAAAATATCTAGATATTAAAATACATAGTTTCGAAATCTGATTCAGATACGGTACTCAAAAAAGCGATACGACCCATCTCTACTGCCCGCTAATTTTTATAGATGGCAGCATTTTCTCAAACACAGTCGCCCGTTACAGTTCTCAATAAAGAATGTAGATGACGCTTTCATAATTTTATTACATATATATATAGTAATATCTCTTATAAAGTCCCAAGTTGAACATTCATCGCTCTTCGTTATATTTATATATTTTTATTTATGTACTACATACACTTACGTACATACTTTTATGTATTTCTATTTTCCATATGATCTTGGTATGGAATGTTCATACAATGTACTTTCACTATAGTACTAAGAGTCGATAGTAGATATATATATATATATATATATATATATATGTACGGTCGTACAAATGTGTCTAATACTTCCCTTAGAAACACTAAGTATGGAATTGTATTTTATTGACATAATAGTGATCGTATCTTTCTATATTTTTAATAAATACCATTTTTGAATATTTTAAATGATTTTTTAACTATTTTTTATCAATTTTTGGTAATATCATTTTCCAAAACTAACACTTACATTTCTTTAATTTAAGTATATATTATTAACTTTTAATGTGATTGAACGTTCTTAAACGTTTTATTTTCATCTTAATTGATCCTTTTTAAGATTAATAATAATGTTTATTATTATTAACAGGGCGTTACAGTAGGTAGATTTCAGATATAATAACAAAAGTACTCTTCGACAGATATGACGTTAGCGCACCGAAACTGAGGCAGTAGCAATGTCTCCATATACACGGTAATTACCGTAGATGGACCGTAATCTGGTTTTTATATACCATCAAGTTAATAACGTAATATTACCATTATGCATTACGTAATTAAAAATATTTCATCATGTACTCTGTAAAACGAATCTCAGTCAGTTAACATAATATTTTTTCAATGGCAGCACTACTCCTGGTTGCCGAGAATTCTAAGGGAATCACAAATATCTAAAAGTATATCTCTATGCAATTTATTCTCGTCATTATTTTAATATCGGAACTAGTGGAATTTTTAAGTGTGGATGAATTACGTAAAATTTACTACGTTGTCTTTTACTCTAGTTACGACGCATTAATTTTTTTTGTGAGTGAGTCGAGTTCGATGTTTCAATTTCATTTTCTTGGCTAATAATTAAAAAAGCAAAGAGAAGAACAACAACTTTATACATTTGAAATGCGTACACGGTGCTCACTAGCACTCAGCGTTTGTTACCGAAACTAAACTCTTAATTTACCCCAGAAAGACAAATTAATAGTATTATTATTAGGAACCAACTTTGGAATAACTATCTAATGGATCCTAAAAACGATTTATTAAAAGAACAAGTTACAGCTGCGAAAGAAAAAGTATATAAAATCATAAAGATACAAAGGATAACTATTATGAAGCTTTTAATAAACTTGAAAGAAACCCTAAGAAGATGTGGAAGTTAATACACTTGCAAAAAATAAAATCGAAAATAGTTGTGCTCCCCTAAATTATTATTTTGGACACACGATCCATAGTGTTGTAACTGAAGCCCAACGGGACCTCAATAAACTCAATATCTGGCTAAATCAAAATTTATTGACCATTAACGTAAACAAAACTTCATACGTAATATTTTCTGCAAAAACCAAAAAGATTCCTGACTTCACGCCGCTGACTGTAAACAACCAACAGATTCTGAGATCAAATCAGGAGAAATACTTGGGTTTGATCTTGGATAGCAGATTGACTTTCAGATCACACATTAAACACATCAAATCAAAATTACTTTCATTAACAGGAGCTTTGCGAAATATTTCAAAATGCATACCATTTAAATTGCGTCATACAATATATAACACCTTAGTCAAACCACACCTGGAATACCTTATCCAGGTTTGGGGGCAGGCTGCTTCTACCAATCTACAGGACTTTCAAGTCACACAAAATAAAATCATCAAACAACTATTTAACTTTAAACATTTAACACCGACCAAAGACATTTATAATAAAACTAAATTACTAAACCTAAACAAACTTTATACCTATCACACATGCAGAAAAATACTAAATAAACACACAAATCACATTTAAACATAAAACTCACCGTTACTATACTCGTTCAGAGATAACATAGAACTACCTATGATCAGAACCATGTACGGAAAGAAAAATATTCAATATGAATCTGTATCCATTAATACCTTCTAAAAATACTTTGATGACGTACTTAATTAATAACTGATCTTTACGACTCCACTTTGTTTATGACTTTTCTCTCTTTCTTTTATTGTAAATCATTTAGTTATTACATCTAAGTGTATTGTTCTTTTGGGAAATAAATTCTTTAAACCGAAATAAATCGGCATTTAACACAAGTCGTACTTCCTTTCCCTGCCATTAGCAAATAATCCTTGACGTACAATTTAAGATTTAAATTATAAATCGCATCAATATCGCATAGGAGTGTCTGTCTCAGAAATAACAACACTATTTCTAATAGGATTTTCAGTGAGGATGTTGCCTTATCAAAATCATATATCCTATATATATATATATATATATATATATATATATATAATAGAATTTCAAAATATTGTTAAAAATCTGTTTTACAGACTTGATCCACAATAAAGTATTTAGAAAATTAAGAAGGCTTATTATCTTTACATATAAGTAAGTAGTAACAGCCTATACATGTCCCACTGCTGGGCAAAGGCCTCCTCTATACGGAGGGTATCAGGGCATAGTCCACCACGCGGCCCCACTGCGGATTGGCGGACTTCACATATTTTCGAAATATATATTTTTTTGTTATTATTTCGAAAATATGTATGTTTTCCTCGCGATATTTTCCTTCACCATGGAGCACGTGATAAGTCAGCACTTGAAGTTAAAAACTTCATTGGTGCCGGCACCGGGGATCGAACTCAGGTTGCTCGAGTATATTGAATTAAAGACGAGCGCCCGGACACTGAGCTATCACGTGGTCTTAACATATGAGTATTTTAAAATGTACACATTTTTTTTGTTATTAGCTATGTTAAATTATATAGTTCGCAATTGGTAAAATCTACCTAAATAGAATTTCTTCCAGAATGGTAACAGTAGCAGCTAACTTTCTCGCTTTTTTGAAGAGCATTAACTCATTTGTAGCAATCGTGCCCCATGCTTTCCTTTATTTACTATAAAGCTGCCATCGCAATTACACTAACTAATTGGTCTAATAGGATAGCAACGCTATACACTGCTTCCTTCCCGTATCGTACGTTCTATAGTTCTATATCATCTGTCACATTCACGTAATGTCCTTAAATTGTAAATGGGAACAATTTTTAAACGCCGCGCAGTATGGACATGCGGTCCAGATGATCAAATAATTGTAACCACAGAACACTTTTACTCAAAGAGATGATTGTAACTGTATATAATACAATAAAATACCATAACTTATGACTTTTATCTACATTTTAAGCAATGCTTGATCTTGTTATGCATACAAACAATTTCGAATATTGTTTTACAAAGATAGTTCGATCAAAAGATGTTGCCATTACTATTTAAAATTTAATGTTTAATTTTTGAAGTGAGACTTATAATGAGACTTCCAACAATGTTACGTTAAGCGTTTAATTCTACCATGGAGGGGGTATGAAAGCATTGTTGCGTTAAACTTTCAATGCTCCTGGGGAGGGGGAATAGAAAGAGACAGAGCGAGAGTGAATGCGTGGCACTCGAAGTTTCACTTTTTCCACGCGGAGGGACTCCACGCACTATTTTGAAGTGAAACTTCTGATGCGACAAGGTTGCGTTAAACGCTCAACGCTCCTGGGGAGGGGGAATAGAAAGAGACAGGGCGAGAGTGAATGCGTGGCACTCTAAGTTTCACTTTCTTCCGCACGGAGGAACTCCACGCACTATTTTTATTTTTCGGGCTATATTAACGAAGAAAAAGACGCCTCAAAGTTCAATCCTGCCAAAACATATATGACATCTAAAGATGTTGTTAATATTTTTAGAATAAATTGTTACAATCCTTTTTGAAAATAAGCAGAAGGAATTCAATTTTTTAAATTAAAAAATACAAACAATCTTTAAATTAATAAATAATTTATAAAATTATCTAAAGTAAAAAACAACAAGCGTATGTCACAGACGTTGTCGTTTTTAAAATGGCGGAAACCAAAACTATGATGGCGGCGTCTGTTACTTTTCCGTGTGAAACGCAACATCTGTCATAAACCTCACTCTTTCTCACTTATTGGTACGGCTACAGAAAAAGTGGGCACGCATACCAATCAATATGTCCACGTGACCTGACTTCAGTCTTGCTTCACTCGCAACCAACTCGCGTAATTGCAAATGCAAAATGTGGAAACGTTTATTTTGTAGGAAAATCATAATATTTCGTGGTTAAGTTATAGTTTTATGGTATACAAAATGCCACCATCAATAGGTGTTAATTTACGTGTTACTGGTCACTGCAGTCAAGGCGGGAGAAAGTACATGGAAGATTTGTTTTCCGTTGCCTATCAACAAACTGAAGACGAAAGGGATTTGGAGTATGCTTTCTTTGGAATTTATGATGGGCACGGTGGGAGTGAAGCTGCAGCTTTTGCTAAGGAGCATTTAATGGACTCTATTGTTAAACAGCGTCAATTTTGGTCCGACAACGACGAAGATGTTCTGAAAGCTATCAGAAATGGTTACATGTTGACCCACTTGAACATGTGGAAAGAACTAGGTAAATCCCGTTCTTCTTCTCTAAAGTTTGAGTTTGAATTGGAAATATATTTACACTTCGATAAGTTTGTTGTTATATGCCGTTTCAAGGAGATTAGTCGGTGATTGTACAAAATATATCGCTTGACCTTGTATATACCCAGTATTTTGTCTAAGCGCTTTGACATTGAATCAACAAAAGAAATTGAAATTATTATTGGGTTTCAGTTTTTAGATGTTAAACAATAAAACCGCAAATATCAAAATATCACAAGTTTCATGTGCAAGTTTTAGGATTCCCACTCATTTTATCAAAGTGAAAGCTGTTTTACCAGTTTTTTATTGGCTCTTGTTCTTTTTTGCCAAAAATATTGTAATATGGCAGAGTTCATAAAAAGCCAAATATATTTGCTTATTTTGTTTGCATGTCTCAAAATTTAAATTCTTTGGAAATATTCATTTACAGAAAAATGGCCCAAAACTGTAACAGGCTTACCCAGCACTGCAGGTACAACTGCTAGTGTGGCATTTATCCGCAGGGGTAAAATCTATGTTGGACATGTTGGTGATTCTGCTATAGTTCTGGGATACCAGAAAGAGGGTTCGTATTTTTGAGATATTGTATTTTATTGGTATATATTTTTAATTTCATATATAATTAACTAATTCTGCCGGCTTGGTGACCCGAAGCGGGTCTTGGCCTCCGATACAAATTGGCGCCAATGCGCCCTATCTTGTGCGATCTTGTCCCAGTTTTCTGCGATCATATATAATTATGCACTTAATAATATATGTGTAAAGTTGTGTGTTGTTGTAGTAGTAAAGTTAAAACATAAAGAACAGCATTTACAAAACTCATCAAATATTCTAACATTATAAGCCCTACATCAAACACTTTCATCCTCGCCTTCGACTACGGCGAAACCAACATAATGCGTACACTGGGTACACCCGCGTTCCAGGGCGGTTCTTACCGCCCCCAGCCACCGACTACCAAGTCGCACAGTCAAAGGCTATTGGGGTCACGGTTGCACCGAACCTTGATAGCCCATAGGCGACACTCCTTAGCTTACGTACGCATGAGCACATGCGTGGCCCTACCAACTGTGGAGGGCCTCAAAGCCGTGGGTTCTGGCTAGCCCACTGGTTCTGCTTTTGATGAAGCTTTAATAGTCTCGAGACTGAAAGTGTACATCAGTTACTACAGTTACAGCTACAGTTTATAAGCCCTATTATTGTGTTTGATTCTTATTGTTTTTAAGTAATTTATTGCTCTTTAATATGGATCTTTATAGCACATTTCATCTAAATAATTTGTTAAAACATTACTATGTATAATATCATTTATTTAAAACCATCAATATTTTTAGATCTAGATATTGTTGTTTGCATGGCCATAAAATTAGTTTAATTTAAGAATTAAATCAATAATATATGCATATAAACATTAAATATTTGTTGGTAATAATCTATGTAAATATTTGTTGGTGCTAGGGCCATGCAACAGTGTTCCCTGTTGCACAAATGGGCCGGTCTGTCCGGGCTATTAGCACGACCTCACAGAAGACCGGCGTAAAGTAGAAGTGTTGCACTTCTGCGTTTCGTCTGATGAGTGAGGTAGCCGGCAAACTTTATTAAGAGGTGGCAACGCACCTACAACCCTGAGGTTGCAAATGTCAATGGGCAGGCGGTTATCGCTTAATATTAGGTGAACCGCCAGATCGTATGCCACTTCCTTACATAAAAAAAATAATAGTTTAATAAGTCATAAAAAATATAATATAAGTCATAAAAAATATAATTTAATTCTTAAGTTAAACTAATCTACCGGTGGTAGGGCCTAAATATACCGGTGGTGGGACCACGCAGCAGCCTCGGCTGTTGCACGAATGGGCAGGCCTGTCCGGGTAAGTACCACAACCTCACAGAAGACCAGCGTAAAGTGGAAGTATGACAAATAATTTCGCGTTTCGTCTGGTGAGTGAGGTAGCCGGAGCCCAATTTTCAAAAGATTGTCAACGCATCTATAACCCTCGGGTGTAGCAGATGTCCATGGGCGGCGGCATTGACTTACCATCAGGTGACCATCTGCTCGTTTGGAAACTTATCACATAAAAAAAAATCTTGTGGCCAAGTCATAAAAGATTGTAGAAGATACAATTGTGCCCTGGGAAGTTTGACTTATCTGTAGGCTCAAAAGTCAAAACGGCTCACTTTTTCTGAAGAAAAGTATTGAAATAGAACTTAGAGTATTTATATGGATACTTATTTGACTCTTTATAAATACTTCCGTAAGTCTTCCGATTCACAGGCGCCACCTGAGAACTTTTATTCATTAACCCCTTCGGGATTCGCGCCCTGACGCGACGGGTTAGCCACTAAGCTAAATGGTTGATTGTCAACTATAAAAGTAGATAACTTCCCAACACTGTCGATCTGAGTTGTGTTGTTTAATAAGTAGATTTTTATTTCAAATGACAAAGATTACATCTTTAGTGATTTTTATCATCTAAAATTTATTTATGTACTAGCTGGCCCGCCCAACTTCGTTTGCGCCATATCTACCGGATCCATACGTTTGGACTTTTAACATAGCGCACAATCTTATTAGATACTTACCGAATCCAGCCGATAAATATGCCTTACACCGCCATCTGTTAGAATCTTATGGAACTCACAGATACTTATAACTCTGTCATTAAATAAACCAATAATTTGCAATAAAATAATATTGCGACTATAAATTGAGATGTAAGCTATCCTATCTTTCAAGTTGGATCAAACTGCACACTGTGTGCAAGTTTGATTTAAATCGGTTAAGTAGTTTAGGAGTCCATCTCCGACAAACAACGTGACACTTAAATAATATATATTGAGATAAGATGAGATTACTTTCAAAGCTGCCCATTTGTGTATTTGTGTACATTCAGAAAGAAAAATAATATTTTCTTTCCAAAACCTCGATATTATACAGCGTGTCTTTACAATCGCGACAATAAATGAACACACATATAGGGGATAACTTTTTAAAATTGTATTAAATATTTACATTCTTTAAACATCAATATTTACAGAGATATTAAATTTTCCAAAACAAACAATTTTAGAACACCCTTAAGTATAAAACTGTAATGTAAAGTTCATTGTAAAGGTCACAAAGCATATGAATGGGTTGAATGAATTTAAAAGAGACAAAACATACTGTTAGAAGGAGAGGCTTGTAATGCGACGCTGTGGCGCGAGTTGTATAGGATGTTACAAATTTTGTTTCTTTTTTACTTAATTAGTTTGTTTGAAAAATATTTTTTTAATTAAGGATTTTGTTTTACGTTAATATTTTTAAGTAGCGTTAAACGTGTGTTCATTTTTTGTCGCGATGGTAACGACACGCTGTATATTCAGTCTATATGTAAATATACATCATAATAATTAATATAACAAAAAATGTATGTACTTATTCAATGCAAAGGGCATTGTATGCAGTTAGAAATAATTACAAACATTGCTAGAGTCAAATTTGACACATATTGTACACTAAATGTTATTTGTTTTAAATAATTTTTTTATTCAATGAGACAATGATCATTTCTGAGAATACACTTTTCTTATGATGTGAAAATTGGCAAGCAAGCTGGTAATTCACCTGATGCGAAGTGACTATTGCTGCACATGGACGTCTACAACACTTAACACTTGTAAATGCATTGTCAATATTTTTTTTTCAAAAATGTAGATATGTTTCTCTTGAACCCGCAAAAGTCTTCTCTGTTGCACAAATAGGCAGTTACATCCAGGTAAGTACCACAACCTCATAGAAGAACAGAGTGAAGTGGAAGTGTTATACTTCTGCATTTCCTCTGGTGAGTGAGGTAGCCGCGGCCCACTATATTAAATGGCAACGCATCTGCAACCCTTCGGATGCAAATATTAATTGGTGGCAGTTATCTGCTTGTTTGCCACCTTCTCACATATAGCAGAAGCTGCTGCGCAGCTCTACCATAGAATTGTGATTTGTGTTCTAAACTCATGTTCTATTGAATCATAACCGACTCTTTAACAATTATCAGGTAGTGAAGAATGGGCCGCAAAACCATTGACTTCAGATCACAAACCAGAGTCATCAACAGAAATTGAACGAATTCAAAGATGTGGTGGGAAAGTCATAACCAAGGCTGGAGTGCCACGTGTTGTTTGGAACAGACCTCGGGTTGGTCACAAGGGTCCAATCAAAAAGAATACTCCAATGGATGAAATACCATTTTTAGCTGTAGCAAGGTCTTTAGGTGATCTTTGGAGTTATAATTCTCAAAATGACGAATTTATTGTTAGTCCGGATCCTGATGTTGGTGTATTGACTATTGACCCATCTAAATTTAGGTAGGTTTCATTTGACATTTGCAAAGCTTATTACAATTTTTCTTTTCACTTAACTTAGGATCCTTTATTGTTATATGTAATATATTCAATTAGCCATTGTGTACTATTTTTTACTAGTAAGACATGATTGTACAAATGGAAAAATACATAATTAAACATGCAAACTTTCCTACTAGGTGTCTTATTTTCGGCACGGATGGTTTATGGAACATGATATCACCTGAGGGAGCGGTGAATCTAGTTCAAGCCACAGAACGTCACAATGAAGCTGCACTAGTCGGTGGAAATGGAAGTCAACCTAGGGACTGGCTCAATCCTTCCAAGAGCTTAGTGGATCATGCTCTCGAAAGGTAAAAAAGGCTAATTATTTAGTAATTAGTACTTTCAAATTTTTATGAGAACCAGAATAAATTTAAAAACATCACAAAATGTTTTAATCAACTAAGCGAGTATTTCAGATCTGTTCATTTACCCCCAGGTGGTCAAATACACGAATGAGGGCGGATAACACGTCCGTGGTGACGCTGATGTTGGATCCGCCGGGACCTCCGCGGGCGACCGTGCTGCGCTCGCGAACCGGCGCCGCGCACAGCCACCACAACCACCACCATCACCACCACCACCAAACCCACAGCGCGGCGCAACCCGCCCAGCCCCCGCACGCCGCGCTCGCCCCGCCGCCGTCCGCGCCCGACGAGACGGCCGGCGATGCCGACGCGGAGGCCAAGCCCGTGCCGCAGTACGGGCTCACCATCACCACCAGATACTCCGAAGGCGAGAAGCCGGCGCCGTCCGGCGACAACGCGCAGAAGGCTCCGCTCCCTCCGTGCGCGACCCTCGACGGCAGGTTCTCGGCGGCCGGCCGCGAGCCCGACGAGCCGGATCTCGTCATGTCCAACTACGGCAATCCGGCCGAGTCCTACTTCATGGCGCGCCTGCTGAACCGCAGCCGCGTCGTCAACACGCTGTCGGACGTCTACGAGGAGATCGTCAACGGCCACGCGACGGACGTGACGTCGGAGTCGCCCGACCGGAGCGCCGCCACCGCCGTGCCCGAGGCCGGCGGCGACGCGACGCCCCGCCCGCCCTCGCCCGCCGAGGGCGCTCTCGCCGCGGGCGACGCGCCCGCCCCGGACGGCGGCATCCAGATCAACGAGGTCTCGTCCAGCTCGCCCACCGAGGGCCCGCGGCCCGCGCGGGGCCGCCGCTCCGCCCCGCCGCCGCCCAACGACCGCGTGCTGCGCTCGCACCACGAGCCCGAGACGCCGCAGCGGCCGCACACGCGCCAGACGGCCACCCGCGCCAAGGGCGGCGCGCTCGAGCGCGTCGTGATTCTGTCGCGGCGCGGGCCGGCGCGGCGCGCCTCGCCCGCCTCTCCCGCCGCGCCCGCCGCAGCCCCCGCGCCCGCCGCCGCCGAGGAGGAGGCGCGGCGCGCGACGCGCTCGCAGGGCGCCTTGAGCGCGGCGGGAAACTGCGCGCGCGCCCCGGGCCCGGCGCGGCGGGCGCCGGCGGCGCGCCGCGAGACGCACTGCAAGGAGAAACCTGTGCGGCGAGAGGCGGCGCCGCTGCGCGCGCGCCGCGCCCGCCCCGCCGCGCCCGCGCACGCGCCGCGCCGCTAGCGACGAGGTGCACTCCACCACGGCCGGCTGGGCGCGCGCGCTGCGCTCGCGCAACGACGCCGAGCCCCCCCTCGCGCACCACGCGCACCACGCGCACCACGAGCACCACGAGCACCACGCGCACCACGCGCACCAGCCGCCCGCCAAGAGGGCGCGCTGCGAGCCGCCGCCCGCCGCCGCGGGCGCGCCCTGGCCGCCGGCGCCGTCGCTGCGCCACCGGCTGCGCCGCCGCCTGGCCAAGTAGCGCGCGCCCTTCCTACTTAGTCTAATGTTACCTGTCGGTGTAATGTCGGTGCGGGTGCAACGGTGCCTTCGAGTACTGCCAAAGTACTGTTTGACTTTTCATATTTTACGGTCGCGCCGCGAGTTGATATATCCAAAGATGACTGCTTCGTATACGGTTACGTTTCTGTTGTTATTATTTTCTATGTTGTTACTCGTACGAAGTGCCGCCGCGCGAGCGACGGGGTCGTAGTATTCGGTTGCGTTGCTAGGTAAAGCCGCGGCGGGGAGGAGCCTCGTGGCCGGCGCGGAGCGGCGCGGGGGAAGGGGGGCCCGTGCGGGGCTCCGTCGGCGTTAACAATAGTACAAAGAATTTATTGAATAGTTACACGTAAGACGAACACGAGGACCACGCGATGAATTAGTCCAAATAGATATTTATTTTATCTATATTTATAGCACTTATCATATTGCATTTAACTTAAGATTGCCATGGAAATTTAATTTTCATGATGCTCGTGTCGAGTCAGAGGCTACGTTTAAACTTTCAGAGGAATATTGTTATACGCGCTCTGCTGTGAAAATTTATTTGGGAGCGCAGACCCGAAACACGTCTTTGACGCGGTGTCGCCGTAGACATGTAGGATCTTATACCAAGAGTGCTTTCTCAAAAATCGAAATATTTATATAAAGATAAAAATTATTTAGCTAAAATTATGCAAAGTAGATTTTGTACAGATGATTAACATTCTCTTCATTTCTTCGTAATTAGTATTAACTGAGGTTATTCTTTTGGGAAAAGAATTATGTTTTATAATTTGATAGACAGAGTTCTTTTATATAAATTGAATGCAAGCAAGTGTGAATTGAGACAATGAGAGTAGTCTTAAATTTTTTTCTTATACAACCAAACACTTAAAACTTGTTTATCAATAGGCGTACAATGTATCTCATCTGCTTTATCTTTTGGTGCATCATGCCATTTTGCGATGAAAGGGCTGCCGGAATGGGCTATGGTGCATACAATTTTCGCCACATGTTTTATGTGAATTTATTATATTAAGTTTTTTACCAACCTGAAGTTTCAATGTTGTAGCTGTCAAAGTTAATCATATTGTGATGACGAAACCATTGATTTATTTTTTAAACTGAACCCAAAAGGGTTTTGAGTTGTTACAATTTTGTTGATTCTGTAATTTTCATTATTATTAAATTATTTAAAGAGGAACTGTTTACATTGACTTGACACAAAGTACCTAATTGTGGACTGACTTCCTATAGATGTGTATTTTAGAGTGCAGTCGCAGTCCTAGGCTTATGTGCATATTAATAATTTTGAAAAGGAATATAAGGAAATATTGTATAATAAACAATGTGCCTCATTTGTTACCGACTTAACAGCAAATAAATAGGTGAAAGTGTTCTTTGATAAAATGAGATATAATAATGTATTTTTATTGAAATACTAAAAAAAATACTAAAATAAATACTTTAGCCGTAAAAGAGGATTTAATATAATTTGTTAAGATAAGTATGTAAAGGTTTAGTGAATTTCTTTGGTGTTTATTGTACCACAAATTTGGAAATGCATGAGAGTCTCCATGTGGAGTTGAGCTAAGAAAGTAAAGTAATAAAAATTGTTTTTATTGGCAATAAGTGCAATACAAGCCCAAAAGGTAAGTGCTGTGGACAGAAGCTGCAGTGAAGCTGGACATAAACTTTCCAATGGAGACTCGGGTTTTGTTCTGTTCTATTCATTTTAAATTCATTTTAACATTGGGATGGTACATATACAAAGGGAGTTTGTATTGAGGGTAAAATGAATGCCTTTCGTAAGAATAGGGTGGTTACATCAATCTTGGATTGAAGATTGGAAAAATTTAAACAAATTTTATTATTATACACATTAATACTAAAGTAAAAGATTACTGTAGACTTTATTTTTTGATTTAAATAAAGTTTGTATTAAATTTGAGAGTATATTTTATTTGTAGTACAATTAGTCTCCCGCCGCGCGTCGCGATGAATGGGCTTCGGCCCACCCCATTCTTGTCGCCGCAACATCTGCCATTCGCGAGCACAACCCACCCCACCGTGCCGCCCCTCGCCGCCCGACAGTTACGCGCCGAACGCAGCATGCGCCGCATGCCGGATCGCGGCGACAGCATGCCACTTCGCTGTGCGCTGGCGGGCTTTTGATTGTGGACTAGTATACTTTTTATTCATATCGGCGTAGCGGTTTTAATAATCTGTAGGCCACCAGCGAGTCCGGCCTAATAAACGAGTTTGACAGTAAAAAAACGCGGGAAACTTACGAGAGGTGTCCGACTCGAAATGCGTGCGGTGTATCGATCGAGTGGCGCCACCGCAATGCGCTGCTGGGGTTGATAGAGTATTGTGCAGTATCGTATGCATGGTTTACATTGTGTTATCTTTTTATTTTCGCAACTTCTTCCAAATATTTGGATATACATAATCTTTGTTAACGAATACTGGACAAAATACTTATAATTATTCATTTCCGCTCCGTTTGTAACATTAAGTAGGTAGGTACCATTCGCAATGCTACAATTCACCATACTAGCGTAAAGTTTCGTAGAGTTATCGTAGGCTCTAACGAAAAATAAAACACACTTAAAGGGTTGGTTTTAATGTGTTGTGAATATTGTAAGCGCCGAAATCACCATGTGTTATTAGAATTCCATAAAAACGTTACAGTATTCACTCAATTTTAAAGCGAATGTGAGATTTTTGTTAGGACGACATACGGCGAACGCGTGACGCAAGTATACTGCACGGCCTGTTTGCTGCAGACAAAAGACCGTGGCGACAATTCTGCTCACTTCCAAAACATTTCGCTGCAGCATTATTAGAATACGATTATTTAATTTTAGTACACTATAGCCCGTGAAAACTATGGTACTGTTTGTAGACTAGAATGACTGTTTCATGATACGGACCATTTGAAAAGTAAACAAGTAATTAGCTTATGTTTTCGCGAAAGTGAATTTCGTGAAAGTCGGCCTGAGTTTTCTGAATGTTCGAAGCGGTTTCTGACTCTCCGTTGTTACCACGTTCGTCGTAAAACTTGCAAAGAAGTACCGTGTTTTCGTATTGTTTTAACTGCGGTGGTCGCTCTTTTATGTAGAGTATAAAACATGATTTCGGTTTTATTTTTTTATTATAAAAGTAACAGTAAGTGACAGGTTGCCGAATCTGCCTCCGCGCTATAGAACGTGGCAGTTAGAGGGACGACACACTCCGGATCGCTACGGCACACCATATCGGTGTCTACTATCTAGTCATACAAATATTATTCACTAGTGTTGGATTATACTGACAGGTCTGGAACAAGCGCCAAGGTGATCGGTTGTGATTGTGAAAGCAAGGAACCAACTCTGTGATATTCTCAATAAACTTACGAGAGTTAGTGCAGGCCATAGTTTCTCCGGAGCAACATGACTGGAATAATGGGTAAGTACAGTTTAGCCTTTTGTAGTTATGTTGTTTGCTCAGGTTACCAAGTAGGTACATCAATCGTCACCCTCTGTGCACGTAAAGATCTCAAAGATACTCATAGAAAATGAGGAGGAGATAAAAGCAGATATCGATTTTTAGAAAACTATTTTTCTTGTGCATGACAGCTAAATTGCGAATCGCAAAATACTTCGCTAGCCTGCTCACTGTCCTAAGTGATGACCGATAATTTACAAGCAATTTTTAATGTTTTATGTTTTCATTAGTCTTTCATTTTGCTCTGTGGTCGATATTTAGTTGACGGGTGGCATTACTTACGCTAGGGAGCAGTCGATTCTAATCCATTAGTTAATTTGTATTTGTGCGCTGAACAAGTAGGTACATTGCGGGGCTTCAGAGATTCCCGTCTAATAGAATTAAAAGTCTAAGTATCACGAGAATTTTCGATCAATGTAATTATTCTACGTAAGTTATTATGTGAAAAAGAAATTAAAAATACATGACGGCTTAGGATCGCAAACCGCAGCTGAACCGTGATATAAAAAATTAAACACGTACATCAAATCATTTATTTATTTATTTATTTGATACACCAACGAAATGGACACTGAAGAAATTTAAGTGTACACTAATTATACGGAAAAACATGTTAAGTGCCACCTCAATCATAGGTGTATACAACATTTAATTAAATGTTGTATTTGCAAGATAAAAAGGATTATTTAATATCATAACAATTAAAAGTCATTTTTATAGTTAATTATTTAATAACTTTACGACAGTGTTTAGATATCATTTGGCCCATCAAATCTAATAAATAAAATCTAAAAATGAATAATCGTGAATCATGGTAGAGACACAGAATCTCACGTACATAAATGTCTTATGAAGCAGAAATTTTACTAATGCTACGTGAGACTGCATATGTTAGGATTGCCGACACGACTCTACAGTGAAGATGTCGTGATTTTTCGACGATACGTATTGGTTTATGTTCGAGTAGATTATTCAACTTTTTAAACACTATAGTATGGCCACGCAGCAGCTCTGCTCTAGTCCTGGTAGTCCCTAGAGGGACACGTCATCACACAAAACGTTAAATAGAAGTATTATCTCGTCGCGTTTCGTATGGTGAGTGAGATAAGCAGCCCTAAACTTGTAGATGTCTATGGGTGACGATAATCACTTAATCCTAACATTAACATTTTAATCATATGTAACATCCTTTATTTTTGAGACTCAAATGAGTTCGATGCAACGCCGGAAGCATTGTCAATTGCTGTCTACCCCGTTAAAATAAATGGTTTTGAGAGCTTGTTCGTTACCTACTTTAAGTTATTTTCAGTAGGTTATTTAAATTTTAATGCTTTAGTTAAGCTACTGTCATCAGGTAGTTGTTCATACCTTGACCAGATAACAAGCGTCAATGTGTATTCTTTACTTAGTAAATAAACGTACGTACGCTCGTGTTTTATCTTACATTTGATACGGAAATAAAATAAACTTTATTAACCAATAAATTATAAATATTAAAACATACGTATAGGCCTACATAATTAGAATTTCCTAGTACCTACAATAACAACTTGATGGCTCCGTGGCGCCGTTGCCAAGGTATTGGCTTCGGTGTGGGGGGTCGTCGGTTCGATTCCCGCACGGGTCGACTGTTTGTGTGACCCACAGATAGTTGTTCTGAATCCTGGTGTTTGTCCAGGTGATAGTTCAATTTATATTTGTAAAACGTCCTCACAATACAGGATACAGGATAATGTTATCCTAAAGTAGGGGCAATTATTTTAATAGAAAAAAGAAATAAAAATATATTCTGTCATTAGTGTTACGTATTGTCAGTTTTATGCCCAGTTTAAACAGTGACAACATCTTCTTTGCACATTGATCTGCAAATGGTACCTACTCCAAACTTCTAAGGTAGCTTTTTGTTCGGTAACATATTGCTGTAAATGATGTATGATGCAATCACGTATTAATTAAATCACAGGAATGGAGATTTGATAATATTCGCAATAAATATACGGACTAGTTCGCCCTGAACTTGTTTATGAATGAAATACGTCGGCAGCCGGCAGTGGGCACTCCGCACCGGCATGGCTTGGCGCCTCCCACGCGGACGTACTAGCTTGGCACCTGGGTATGCCCGCCCATTATTGCAGCACTTTGATTAAGCCTTGTCCATGGGAGTGCAATACAACTATTTGCTTGTGTTAACATATTAACGCCTTGCTTGCAGTAAACTTGTTTACTGCAACTAGGGAATTATTAACAGGCTGTTTAAGAACATCTCCTGACTCATGTTTTTGTAAGAATAAAAGTATAAAAAATCAATAATAATAAATTAAAAAAGCGTGATTGCGATACGAAAACATAAATAAATTGAAAACTGTATAAATTTTTTGCTAATTTTGATATATCCTATAATAATTGCGCAATAAAGGCGAATATATCGACATAGCACTCATTTAATTTGGTTCAGATGGATATACAGGTCAAACACGACTCCTTTTTTTGGCTTGACCGCAGTCTGGTAAAAAGAAGTTCATAGGATACATTTAATATAATTTTATTGTTATTTATTTATTAGGACACATTTTAACACAACATTTTCTAGTCCCAAACTAAGCAACTTACTATGGATACTAGAAAACTGATAAACATACTTTTATTTGGAAATAAATACATATATAAAATGGTCACCACTCAGCTTCATATCACGAAGTTGACAATCTTCGTGATTGTTGGTTTTCAGTGGAACCTTGGGGGAAAGAGATAGATGGCCCTACGTAATAGTCGTAAAGAATTAATATTGGATATAATAAATTAAAAAAAAACAAGAACATTTGACTAAAAGTAAGAAACGTTACACAAAGAATAAAATTATTTTAGAACAAATACAAATTACTTATTTTACCTGCCATGCTTGTGTTATGTGTGAAGAAGATTTTGTTGTTGTGTTATGAGATGGAGCAAGAAAGTGTATGTTTTTGTTCGTATTAGTTAAGAACGAAAGTCTTAAGTGCGGTCAACGATCTGGATATTTACATTAGACTACAATTTTCCTTGAATAAAATATAATCAAAAACTTTGAAAAGTGCTTTTTAATCTGGAACTATCTGAAAAAGAAGCTGACACGAATAACAAGTTCATAACCCAAACTATTCCAAGCCTTTAATTCAATATACTCTAGCAACTTGAGTTCGATCCCCAGTGCCGGCACCAATGAAATTGTTAATTTTAAGTGCTGAATTATCACGTGCTCAGCGGTGAAGGAAAACATCGTGAGGAAACCTGCATGTTTTCGAAATAATAATAAAAAAAATATTTCGAAGATATGTGAAGTCCGCCAATCCGCATTGAGGCCGCGTGTTGGACTATGCCCTGATACCCTCTGTACAGAGGAGGCATTTACCCAGCAGTGGGACATATATAGGCTGATCTAACCGAAACTACAAATTCTCGGCACTCGCGGGCTTTCCATTTGCTTATCCAACTCCCTTGCAGGTGCTTTCACGTTGTGTCTGAATTGCTTAGATCTTCGTGGATACAATTCGGATGGTTGGTTATCATCCAGCTAAGGAAGAGGGGCTTTGAATTAACAATAATAGGATACATTTCATGCCAGAACACTCAAGTGATGGAACAGGATGCAGCTATAAGCACTGGATAGCAAGTGGTCTCTGCTGCCCAGGGAGCCTTGCAACAACCGAGAAGTTGGGAAATACGTGCCTGGCCGCTGAGGTAGGAATAGGTAGTCCCTAGATATGTCAACGCCACAACTAAGAGTTTATTTTCAACTGTAAACGCTTAGTACTCACGTTCAATTGAGCTGAATTGAGGTGCCGTGATTCCCAGATTCAGATTAAGAAACTTTAGACAGTAGGTAGTTTGTGGAACAATTAAAATTTTGTAGAGTTGAGTTGCGCTGTTGCAGCATCAGACTGGAGGTTCTGCAGAGGTGCGCGTGGGCGGCGGGCGCGTCGGTGGGCCGCCGCGGCCACACGGTGCATGTGCCAATTGCACAACAGCCGTTCACTGTGTGCCATTCTTGCAATGCGCCAAATCAAAGCGGCACTTTTAAAGTTGCGAAATGCGTACAACGAGAAACACTATTAAGTATTGAAATTCTTTTTTCTAATGTCTGCGGCATTCACGGTTTCGGTAACGGTAATTATTTAAAAAGACCCAGCCATTCTTTAAATCACGGTGGCACAAGCGTGGCGGAGGCTGCTACCGGCAAACTTATTACCAACCAGTCTGATACCAAACTTTTGACGAAATTATAATAAAGTGAGCCTTTGGCTTGACTCGGACGCACGTACAATTTAATAAATTAAACTATTAGGATTTTTACTGAGACCATATCGATCGAGGTAACAAATGGCGAATAACCAAAACGGCAACATTAATAAGATGGGAATTTGCACAATTCTGCGTTTGCCTTTTACGGCACGAAACGGCGTGGCTATGTCGATTGCTGATGTCATCACCCACACGAGAAGTTGGGACGGTGCCCTCGGCCGACCGCGTCACAACATGCTTCGGCAAACTTTGCATTCGCCGATGGTCCCTAGACATAGCTCATGGAAGTTTGAGAACAGTGCCCTACAGTTACTCCTCATACTCACTCCGTTCTTCCCACTCTGTGTTGAAATCCAACCGGGGATCTCTGGTGGGGCCTGTAGTGTTGTTCCGTTGTCGGTGGCCGCCGCCAGTGCGGGCCGCGAGAGAGAGCGCGCCAAACGCTCCGTCACTAGTATAGTATAGTATAGTATAGGAGCACGCGGACGAGGAGCGCACGTGACCATTGAAAAGTGCGCACTGGCATTCACGCGACGCGATTCTTTTATCTGTTCCATGAGTAACGCTGATAACTGAAATTCACCTCAATATTTCAGTTGGTTGCGACACTCTTCCGAAGGCGCGCATCGGATTCTGTTCCTTTTTTCTGAATATTGCAATAATTTATAGCTGATACTCTATAAATGTTGTTGTGTGTTTATGCAGAAAGTGTCGTTGATTTTTAGTGATTGTGGATTGCAAGGGCAGGCAGTTTCGACGGTGGACCGTAACAGAGGTTCGTCTCGAAACCATAATGTTTCTTACGCTGTCACTTAAATTTATGGGCAAAATGACGTGATCTATGTATATACAAGATAATAAGTTATACTCTCTGAAAAGCATTGTCATCGTTCATAGCCATCTATGTACACATATTACCACACTCATGTACTTCCTTTTTTCGGTAAAGACAAATTGGAGAAAATTAAATGCGCATACATGCCGATAAATAATAATACTAACACTGTAACACTGTAAATTAAATTTAAGGGTAAGATAATTACAGAAAATGTTATTACTGTATACACATATAAAATAATTATCTATGATAGATAAGTTTTATATACGTTATAAAACGGTAAAATTAATTATCTGTATTATTTATATATATAATTCTTCTGTACGTGTGTATATCACTGAACTTCTCCTAAACGGCCGGACCGATTTTAATGAAATTTTTTTGTGTCTTCGATTCGAGAAAGGTTGAGATTCATAATTCGTTTTATCTTTTTAGTTTTTTTTTATTTATAAGTTTTCGGATTTAAGTCGTGTGTACAGAACAACGTTTGGTGGGTCCGCTAGTATGTTTATAAATGGAGGGGCTTTTAATTGTGGTTATAACATATTTTAATTTACCATACGCACATATACGAAGTGAAACAGTTTCAGTTTATAAAATTAAAAAGCTTAAATGCAACTAACTTCGACATGTCCGTATTATAAGATCCCAAAAGTAATCGTCAATCGTCTCCGAACCGTAATAAAATATGATCACTTGCACAGGCTCATGACGTACTTAACATTAGTATAGGTAAATTGGTACTGCACAGAAACCAAATGTTTCGATATATTTGAATAGAATAATAGATATTTACTCAATACGACGAATAATAGAATGCCCATGTCGTGCAAAGCGACGGGGAGGCCCAAAAGTCAAAGAAGTTTCATTTTACAACGAATCAACTAAATTACATGACGAAAGACAGTCCAGGAAATGCACAAACCTTAGGGCTGGTTTACACGTTGCGAATTAGCAAGCGAGTCAACGCGTTAATTCTACTTTTTTGTATTTCCGTTTTTATTTTTCATTTTTCATCACTGCTTTATATTCTTGGCGGTCTTTATTTTGAAGCTGTTACATGTCGCCCTATGTTTTGGAAGATCTTGTTGCCATTTCATATCCAAAACATTCTCTTTTCCTGTCTGTTCTTTTTGAAGTTTTTTATGGGCATTTTCCAATGTATAGCATAATATTTAGGGTTCCATACCCAAAGGGTAAAACGGGACCCTATTACTAAGACGCCGCTGTCTGTATGTCTGTCTGTCTGTCAAATTTAAATGGGGCTCCCATACAACAGACATGACTTTTGGCCGTTTTTATAGAAAATGGTACGGAACCCGAAGCACGTTGACTCGACATCGCGAAAACTTTCATCAGAATGGACAGCTATTCGAATTATGTTTACACATAATTATGTGTAAACAAGCCATAATTCCAAACGTGAACCATAATAAACAAATAATTAGTTGTATGTTTGTTTTGCGATTCAAGAAAAGTTCAATCGATAACATTCAATCGGTGTTTGCAACGCATCAATCAAGATTAGATTCTTCCCTACTTTGCGATATAAGTCCATATCACAGCTCAGATGTTTCTAAAGTCAATATTAGCACATGTTTTGATCATATTGATTGCAATAAAAAATAACTCATTATTATTAATCCCCAATTCGCCAAGTGCATTAAACGTGCGTGGGCAGCGGTTGCCTTCGGTTGGTGCCGCGGCGGCCTGGCCCCATGTGACTCAGTCTCGTCTACGTCCGTTTGATTGAAGCCCAGAGCACCTGAAACGGTTCTTAGGTTCTACTTTATTCGGAAACATACTTAATTGCCTTTTTCCCTGATTTTCTAGGAACGATGATTATTTATCTCTAATATAGGTGGATTAATAATAGATAGTACCTAAGTATCCAGTTGGCACTTAGGTACCTACCTATCTATATACTAGAAGTGGGCGATACAAATCGTATCAGATATGAAATCTAGATATTAGTACAATATCCGAATATCGCTTACTGGCTCGTTCAATATCTATGTATTTTACAATATCTGATATTTCCGAAATCTGATATACCGAATACTCGCTCGCTCACTATACCGACACGAATCGCGATATCATACGGTTTGCCACAATATCTGATTTTTAAACAGATTTCGAGAGACAAAGCGCGTGAGATACAAATACTCACTAGTTAGAGCGGGACGGCAAGTAATGAACGATATCAGATATCGAGCGACAAAGCGCGTGAGATATAAATACTCACTAGTTAGAGCGGGACGGCAAGCAATGCACGATATTAGATTTTTAAACAGATTTTGAGCGACAAAGCGCGTGAGATACAAATATTACACTAGTTAGAGCAGTACGGCAAGCAAGGCACAATATCAGATTTTTAAACAGATATTATGAATAAGTTAAGTAATTTTGAATCTTAAGATCATACTGATAAGATCCGTTTTAATTAAATACTACAACGATATTATTATATTTGTATTGTTTTGTTTAGCCTTGAGCCGTAACGGGCGACAAAGCGCGCAGTTAAGTAATTTTGAATCTTGTTGCATTTAAATACGAATTACGATATTAACGATGTCTTTAAATTTTGTTTAGCCTTGAGCTGGATTGCATTGGTACCTAGCACGTAATAGTTAGGGATGCCAACTTACTACTTAAGAATTTTCTGCCAAAATTAAGGAAGAAAAAAAATACAAATGGAAATGTTTTAGGAGGAAAATTTTTTTGTGAATATTTTTATTAGTTAAATTTTGTGGAAAAAAATAAAAGTACACAAAAAGAAAAATATAATTTAATAGTGCTGTGCTGCTTGGGTGGAAATCAGACCAAGGCTTATGTGCTTTGTGTGTATATTTTAAATTCTTCTGCCATAAGTTATAATGCTGAATGTATTATTTCTTACACAAATTATAAAAATATTGTCACTCATGATTGCGTGTTAAGAATATGTTAAAGTCAATTATTAAGCGATATATAAGATGTTAAAATCAATCATTTTTATATTACTTCAATTTCTATTTTTAATGAAATTTTTAATGTAATCAGGTAATGTTTTAATTTTACCTTAATAGTATAAAAAAAAATCGTGATTTAAAATTTAGTCAATTTTAGTGGGTTTTCGAATTTATTTAGAAGTATTCTTTTGGAACAGTTGGTATCACTGGTATTAAGTTTTAAATATCACGAACATTATGTATATGGAATGAATCAACTTTTAAATACGCCTGCACAATTTATATTCCGAATGAGTATAAAATATCGTTGAAAACATTTTATTTTTTTTTTTTTTTTTTTTTTTTTTTTTTTAGAATTGAAGGTGGATACGTGACCGTAAAATATCTAGATATTAAAATACATAGTTTCGAAATCTGATATTTGAAATCGAAATCTGATTCAGATACGGTACTCAGAAAAAGCGATACGACCCATCTCTAATGCACACTCGAAGAGATGTCAAATACGAAAAGGCAGACGGGCCGCGGATGATTGACATCATGTCACATGTGTTGCCTATAGTCAAAATTACGTTCCGTTTTTATTTTTTCGTTTCATGATTTCAATATAATGTATAAAAATTAAAAAAAAAAACTGTTATTATTAATCTGTCTTTAATAAGTATTTTCTTTTATTTATTTATTGGAACGAAGTTCCTTACGGCAGGCTTGGAGAGGATAGTAGAAGTGGGCGATACAAATCGTATCAGATATGAAAACTAGATATTAGTACAATATCCCAATATCGCTTACTGGCTCGTTCAATATCTATGTATTTTACAATATCTGATATTTCCGAAATCTGATGTACCGTGCTCGCTCGCTATACCGACACGAATCGCGATACGGCGATATCATACGCGTTTGCCACAATATCTGATTTTTAAACAGATTTCGAGAGACAAAGCGCGTGAGATACAAATACTCACTAGTTAGAGCGGAACGGCAAGCAATGCACGATATCAGATATCGAGCGACAAAGCGCGTGAGATATAAATACTTACTAGTTAGAGTGGGACGGCAAGCAATGCACGATATCAGATATCGAGCGACAAAGCGCGTGAGATATAAATACTTACTAGTTAGAGTGGGACGGCAAGCAATGCACGATATCAGATATCGAGCGACAAAGCGCGTGAGATATAAATACTTACTAGTTAGAGTGGGACGGCAAGCAATGCACGATATCAGATATCGAGCGACAAAGCGCGTGAGATATAAACACTTACTAGTTAGAGTGGGACGGCAAGCAATGCACGATATCAGATATCGAGTGACAAAGCGCGTGAGATATAAATACTTACTAGTTAGAGTGGGACGGCAAGCAATGCACGATATCAGATATCGAGCGACAAAGCGCGTGAGATATAAACACTTACTAGTTAGAGTGGGACGGCAAGCAATGCACGATATCAGATTTTTAAACAGATATTATGAATAAGTTAAGTAATTTTGAATCTTAACTCCATGCAAATAAGATCCGTAAATTTTTTGTGAATATTTTTATTAGCTAAATTTTATTCATATTTTTGGAAAAAAATAAAAGTACACAAAAAGAAAAATATAATTTAATAGTGCTGTGCTGCTTTGGTGGAAATCAGACCAAGGCTTATGTGCTTTGTGTGTGTATATTTTAAATTCTTCCGCCCTAAGCTATAATACTGAATGTATTATTTCTTACACAAATAATAAAAATATTGCCACTCGATTGCGTGTTCTAAAAATATGTTAAAGTCAATTATTAAGCGGTATATAAGATGTTAAAATAAATCATTTTTATATTACTTCAATTTATATTTTTAATGAAATTTTTAATTTAATAATTTAAAAAAACGCATTTTTAGTAAGACAGGGTTAATTATTAATGATCGTCGAACAAGACTTTCGACGAATAAAGTCAGAGAGCTTACGTTCCTAAACGTGAATTTGAACCCGGAGGGATATAAA